GCAAATGCGGCTGCTACAGTCTGTCAATTTTACAGAAATAATTCCTTTTCGCTCGCACTCCCGCCATGCTTCTCTGTTTTCGTCTGAGTGATTTGCCCACGACCACCTTATGACGGCCAACTGAATTTCAAACATGTTCGATTTTCTCCCAACCGTACGATTCCTGGTAGGGAATTGGTCGTGAGAAGTTTATCGCCCCTCGTTACCCCCTGTACACTACACAACGCACAATCAGGCTGAAAGTCAGCCCCATCGAAACATTTTTGCATGGCTGGAGAATCGGCTTGAAAAGTGTAAAAAATCAGACAGTATATACCTGGCTTTAGCAAATGGGTGAGCAGCCTTATATATAAACTAATATTAATTATTTGCTTACAAAAATATGAATATTACTGGAGGTAATAATACACCAATAATAATACATGTGTAAATACATTCATCGATTTCAGGCAGTAAAAAAGGAAGGTTACACGATACCCCTTTTAGACTATATTATGTTGGTCAGTGGAGCTTTGCAGACCAAATCACTATTGTCACGTGTGTCTCATAATAATTGTAAGACATTAATTTCATTTGGATATAGAATATTTATCATAATTTAAATGCAACCTGTGTTGTAATGTGGTACTACCATGCTAAGGCGATATTAGCAGTATGACTTCCCCTCTGGTTGTGAGAATACTTGTGTAACTTGGTAACACTACAGATATTTATTCTTAAATAATATGTTGTTGGATTAATGCACCAAAACTGCGCTGTCAACCCATCTCTGTCCTCAAGTCCTAAAATACCAAAATGCATTGCAACTTTCATGTCGGCTGACCTCATTTTTCAACCCTCTATAGCAGAGGTCACCAACCTTTTAAAGACTGAGGGCTACTTCATGGGTACTGAGTCATAGGACAGGCTACCAATATAAACCTATGAACTGGAGGAGTCAGCATTCACCTAAACTTCATAAATAGACATATTTCTTCTGTTTCTTTTCATTGCTAATCTGTTTTTAGATATTGTCTTTTTGAAATCCCTATTAATTTTATAAGCAGCATAAAATAAAATTTCAAACTTAGTCCACTGGTGAGTAGTTCTGTTGTCAGAAGACGCTGAGGGCACCCCATGTGGTCCTTGAGGGCCCCACTTTGGTGACCCCTGCATTATCGAGTGTAATGCATAACGTTCAAATATTGGAATATGACAGCAATGGGTAAAAATAAGAAGTTTGGAGCTGTTTGCAGGTCTATGTAATAAATATAGTTTTGATTTATCATTGGTAAGTTGGGTTTGCCCAGGTCTCTCCTGTAAAAGAGGCTTGTAATCTCAATTTGACATACCAGTTTAAATAAAGGTCACAATTAAAGGCCTATCTCAAAGAATTTTTGAAATAGTTGTAAAATTGAGCTTTCAATTCATGTAGTGGCATCTGGTTTGGTTTTTTTAAAGTTTACTTTAGACTTTTATACTTTTTTGGAGCACATACTTTTTCACTTTTGAGTAAAGAGGTCAAAATGATGCTTCAACTTTTACCGGAGTGTTTTTAAACTGCAGTATCTATACTTCTGTGTGTACTTTTGACACCACTGGGTCACATACCTGCATTGTATCACCAATTACGATTTCTTCCATGAGTGCACAGATAATTGTAATGTTGTCTTCTACCTGAAAACATCCTCAGCTCAATACAGTGTTAAAACGGGGATAAGCAAATAAAAGAGTAAAGACTGAGAAGTAAAGCAGAAAGTGTAAGGAGTATAAAACCACAAATGCAGCACATAGAAAGCTCTCCGCTGTCCACATAAACCCTTTTCTTAGTCCCATTGCATATTTACATTTACTTTAAGAATTTACATGCATGCAAAGAAAACTAGTTGGCAGAAAACAGGAGAAAGAAAATAAACACAGAAAAAAGAATAACCTAAGAACTGTGAATTTCAAAAAGAAATGTGACAATAGGGCTGGACAATAAATACATATATATTGCAATAAAAACCTACGGTAATCATTATCAGAATACAATAAATCTGATGAAATGTTCATTAATTCTATTGAAATCCAGAACCTCATGGCATTCAGGGATATGTAGGCAGAGGGAACCTCTTACCTCTTGTAGCCAAACTAAACTATGTTGGTGGGAGGGCTGATCTATTTTTGAAGGTTACATTTAAATAGGGTTACAATTTAAACTGTGGCTTTTCCACTTATCCTTATTAAAAATTATCGATATTGACCGACCTGAAGGCTTATACCAAAGTAGTTTTTGGCCAAATTGCACAGCTCTATGTGACATGTGAACTATTATACAGATAGATTTTAATAAGTTAGGATATGCATCTCATGAGATTTCTTTGTCATATAAAAAGCATATTTTAAAGATAACCCTTAGGTAAACATTAAATATCCTTTTAAGCCCACATTTCACTAATAATGTGTCTTTAGCTCTGTGATTGGATGCCCTCTGGAAACAGTGCAGGGGGTGGGAAACAAAAGGATCCTAACTAAATTAACATCTCTGTTGGATAATGTCTCTCACACCATGCATGAAGCTCCTTCAGTGACAGACTGCTGCACCCTAAATGCATCAGGGAGCGCTATGACAGATCCTTCCTCCCAGCAGCTGTAAAACTTTATAACCACCACTGCTCCCAACAACCTCAATAAGTTGTTACACTCATGCTGATTTTGCAGTTTCTACCTTAGTCAGTTAAATCCCATGCTGCAGTCATTTTGCACATCTCTGATGTTTCTGCTTTTGTCAAATATCCATTGCTGTAAAAATGTCCATAGCTGTATATTGGTTATTTATTCTCCAGGTGCACTGTAAATATATTGTTAAAACACTTTACAGTAAAGTATTTTGTTTATATTTTAACTCTTCACTAATATGTTGTTCTTATACATTTTTTTAAGATCCACATTTGTGATAATTTTTTGCTATATTTTTTTATTGTCCCATTGTGGGACAAGAAACTGACTTTATATTCTATTGATGTGATGTAATATTCTAGTTTCAAATATCATTAAGGGAGGAATCATCAAAATTAACAGAATAAATTATGCTTTAAAACATCAGCTTTACATAACTACATCAGTTAGTGAATTAAGTTAATAATTATTGGTGCTAACTCATCCTCACTTGCAAATTTCTCCGATGTATTTGTACTGCAGTCTCTTTCGCTCTACAATATGAATATGTACAGAATTACTTTTAGTTCACAAAACCCATGGATTATTTTACATATATACCACTCAAAAATACTGTATATAGTGGAGCTTTTTCATTTCCTGAAATCTCTAAGGTCTAAAATCAAATAACACTCCCTCCCATGCACACACGCCTAGCCTCAAGACGAGAAGCTGTGCAATCACAACTGCTGCCTCCCAGCAATGACAGAAGTTTTTCAAAGAACCCAGATATCCATGTGGCAATCAGTTTAGTCTTCTTGTCTGGCCGTTCCCCCCCTTCTTCTGACACCACATATGGGATGAGACAGTCAGGACCTGGCCTCAGGAGATGAAGGAGCAGCTCACAGCTGATCCTCACAGTACTGCTGGCTTCACAGACGAGGACAGGACTGATAAATACATTCTATTCTGGGAACTTTATGAGCTTTTCAATGTGTTGATAAGTGATGAAAGGCCAATATTATTTCTAAAAGCAGCCTTTTGTCTGTTATCCTGTTGTCTGGTCATCACACCCCAAAACTATGTCTAACTTCCTCAGTTGCTGCAGTTATAGATCAAAGTCATCAAGACTGAACTTTACCAATCTACCAATCATAATGTTAAAAAAAATTCACTGCTGCTTCAATGTTTTTTTTTTCCAATCAGTATTCAATATATTGCAATCTTCAGAAATTTGCTTGCAAAGTGTTCCATAACACGTAAAACGATAACGTTTTTCTGCATGACCTTTACCCTTAACCAAGTTCTTCTCTGTTACAACCGTTTTCTTTGTAGTACATGGAACAGAAAGTTTAGCACAATATACTCATTTAAATTATTTTAGGGGGGATTTTGCTCTTTGCACCTACGAATGCTTTAGGTCACTTGACTCCAACTAATAAGTCACTCTAGTAAAAGCAATCTAATACTTGAGAATTCATCTCGACTACTTCTTATTTTCTAAAAAAATCTCCATTATCTTGTTTTAAGGGCATTATATGTATGATCCAAGTCTCTTACTTTAGGGGGACAAATATTAAAACTATCTACCCATTGGGAGATCATTTTACTGCTCAAATTACGAGCAAATACACTTTTTTTTTTTTACGCTATTGTAGGCAAAATAGGATTTATTGAAAATAAAAACCCAAATACAAAAACAGAATTCACTGCTGGAAATCTTGGAAATCAATTTAACAAATGAACCATCCCATGATAGTGGAACTAAATCAGTTTTGCAATACTGAACCTCAAGCAGGAGTCACCTTGTTCGTTACAAAATGAATGAGGTTAGTTAGGATTTAGTTTTAACCGCAGTATTACAGTTTTCACATTTTGCCAGATATAACTGATGATATTTGAAAAGAAGGAGCCATGTGAAAATCTGTTTTCCAATTATATTTAATAATTCCATCAAGTTTTGTTTATTAGAACATAATCATGGCAATTTTGTTCTTTACACTAACTGCTGCTATACTGTAACAAAACATGACCTGCTACAATCAGGTAGCACACTGCAGAAAAAGTATTTAAAAAGTTCTTGAAATAAGTCTATCAGCACTTAATTTGAGAAGCCAAGTAAAATGATCTTCCAATTGAATATTTATTAACTTAAAATAAAGAAAAAACAAAAACAAATTTGTCATCTTATGTTAGCTCCAGCATATTATTTGATTTTAGAGGCCACATTATTCTACTGGCAGATGATTTCACCTGCCTGCAAAAACAAAGTGCAAATACACATTTGAATATTTGACTTCTCATTTTTTTGCAGTGCAAATCAGCTTTTTAATACTGTAAACAAAACAAACAACAAAAAAAACAAAGTAAAGTATTGAAGATGTATTGTAAAGGTGTTCATTTAATTTATTCAAACTTTGAACCTAAATAAAAAAACAGATCATTCATTTGCCATCCTGAAAATCAGAATGGAAAAACAAATGATAGAAGTTAATACAAGTATATGACAGAAGGCTGATTATTTAGCTTTGATGGAAGAGACAGGTACACGTGTTGCAGAGCCTTGGGAGTGTGTGCTAGGATTTCTTTTCTTTTTGCCTGTGATCTGCGCCGACAGCCTCGGATACACAGCTGAAACCTTGATCTCTACAAACACACAAAGGAATGGATCATCAGCATATCAGTAATAGAAAGTAACCTCCAGTTTTTCTCGATCAGTACAAATAGAGAGAAGGCAACTATAAAAGCAACAATGCGTAACTGTTGGCTCACAAATTAGCTTCATTTGAAATCTATATTCAATTATTTTAAGTTTAATATACAGCATTTTGTGGATATTAATGCTCCATGCAGAATTTCAAAAAGCTGTCTTGTGACACAGAGTCATGCGTTATATGACCCAAAACATCACTTTATGGCAATCTGAGCTCCTCTTAAACATCAGAGCTAATTACGCTATAGGTTGTTGATTAGCAACAAAACAATGATGACACTTGGCTGATCAGGGATATATTTAGTCATCTGATTTAGGATTTACTGTAGGATGGTATTTATGACTCTATGGCTTTAATTTGAAGGAGTGGTCCGCTATCATTTTCCAAATGCTGCAAATGGTGGGGGTGTGAGGGGTCATGATGATCCCTCACACCCACACCAAGGACTGTTCTCCCTGCTGCCCTCTGGGAAAAGGCAGGTTCTGCAACAGCTTCTTCTTCTCCACTGCCATCAGACAGCTGCGCTGTTGAGAAAACTCTAAATCAAGTGACAGACACTGCATCACACTGATAACCCCCAAACCAAAATACTACATTTTGTATACACTCTGTGTATACAAAATTACATTAAAAGTTGTCTAAGTCAAATCACAGAAGAGAGACTAACTGCAACGGTGTGGTCTTTAGGCTGGGTAAACTTAGAACTCACAGGTCAAGTGTCCCCCGTGGCTAAAAGTTCTACAGTGGTGCATTAACAATGTAAGAAAGGACAGACATATAAAAGCAGGTAAGAGGGATGTATAAGGCGAGTGATGATGTCTTGGTCAACAATCTTACTCAGCACTAACACTAACACAAGTGACTACTTTGACTTTTTTTTTTTTTTTATCTGCATTTATCTAAACATGAAGTGAAACCAGCGAAACTGAACATTTGCTAATAAGCTGCTTATAAACTTTGAATTTTAGGTAAAAATACAATATTTTCAAATGAACAGGTTCAATTCCTATTCAAGTCATTAGTGGCTGATGTACAAGTCCAAGTCATTTCACAAGTCTCAGAGCATTTCTTTGTTAATTTGAGTCCAAAGTCACTAAAAAAATCAATGACTCGAGTCCGAGTCCAAGTCTGGGAACTCGATTCTCCAATTCTGCTCGTCTCTCCCTGTTAAATGGTTTTGTCTTTTAAGTTGCCATTAAAAACGGTGTAATCAGAAACCAGATCCAAAAATGGAAAAGGGGAATTAAAACAGTTGCAGCAGATCCAATCCGCTTTTCATTTTTCTAAGTTAGCATTATTGAGATGCTTTAGCTTTTGTTGTTCTTTAAAATGTAGGCGTTTCTTTGAATACTGTAGAACACTCTGCTAAACTCAACCAAATGTTGGCTATTCAGTCTAGTCTAAACTATAAATCCCCCCCCCCCCCCCCCCCCCCCCCCCCCCCCCAACTGGGAAGAAGCAACTTTAAGTTATTTGGACTGAAAAACCCACAACTAGCCTGCAGGTGAACTGTCAATAAATGCTAATTTTCTGTATGGCACTTTGTACGTCTGTTTTCTTTAGATTAAAACAGGTAGAATACTGTTTTCTCCTTTGGGATTTTGTAATAGCCCCCTTTAATGTTTATACTTACTTAAGAAGCTGCTCCAGTTCTCGCTTTATCTTCTTCACTACAGGTGGACCCTGATAGGTCAAAGCAGTATAAAGTTGCACCAGAGAAGCACCGGCACGAATCTTATCCATTGCATCCTGCCCACTGGCCACGCCACCAATTCCAATGATGGGTACTTTGCCTAAAACCAAACCAAACTTTCCTTCACATGATTCCTTCGATTATTCTAAAAAGAAATTGCAATGGAAAAAAGATGCAGACAGCAACCTTTGGTTAGGTTGTACATTTCGCTGACAGTCCTAGTGGAGAGGTCTTTAAGGGGCTGGCCACTTAGCCCACCAGTCTCAGACTTGTGTGGGTCCTGAAGTGCCTCTGGTCTGGACACAGTGGTGTTAGACACCATCACACCATCCACTGCCAACTACAAGAAAACAAGGAGAAACAAAGACAAAAAGTAAAGGCTCTGATTTCTGGCCTTCAGAGAAGCACTGCTGAATGAAAAAGAGTTGACCTTGTATAAAAAAAGAGATATTTACCCATTAACTTCATCATAATCAATTTTAAAGTCAAAAAGACGCTTTAAGTTGTAGACCTACTTGAAATGTTTGAAAGATTTTTCAATGCCAAAGATTTTTTTTTTTCATGACCATGAAACAGGGTTTTATTTAGTGAGAAGATGCTCTAAATTAGTTTGGATCCATGTCAGCAGTCGCAGTAACTCTATATCCTTTTTCGATTCACATACCTTTACACTTATTTTATCAAGTGTTTTTATCAAGTTTTTTTCTCAGTGTTGACTGAGTGGTAAATTATTTAAATATTATAGCCTTTCAAGCATGCTTTTTAAATAGGTTGCTGTTGCATAAGAGGCTTTAAGGTTAAAGATCTTAGAAATGTATCACCTTTTATATAAAGGGAAAGTCAGCCTTTACCATTGTATTACATTTCAAGAGGCAAATAATTTGGAATAAAAATTAACAGGATTCAATCCTGGGTTTTCTTGGGAAAAAACTTCCATGTCACTTTTATATTTATTTAAAGTTTTGCTTTGCCTGTTCTGGAAGTCATTCAGGTGCCTCTTTATCTGGCCAGCAGTGGATTTTCTTTTGGTTTCACGGGAGTTTCTCTTCCTCTGATTTAATGTACATCCCAGTCAATGAACTGCTGTCCTACTGATAACATTCTTCAGTATTATTAGAAAAAATATATAGTTATAGTTAACACTGGTTTTGTTTTAGGATTCAAACGAGCCAGAAATATAGATATTTGAAAAAGCTAAGTACACCTTCCTGTTATAAGATTAAAGAGACAAAGTAGTTAACAAAGTAGAAGTTAACAAATTCCTGTTATTATTTCAAAACCCCCATAGTATGACCACATCTGTAAAAACAGCAGCTTTGCTGACCTCAAGCATTCAGGTGTAGTCACAGTGTCTAAAAGGAAAAGCATCAGTAGCGGAGTTAGAGAAGCAATTGCTCTATGTGATGATAAAAGTTAAAACTGAAGAGAAAATAACTTCAAGATATTGCTGCTAAAGGTAGTTCATATATAACAGTATCTCCTTAGTTTTTTCCTATGACTGTATGATTGATGATTTTAAAAAAATTGGCAATGGGAAGTTAAAAAACCCCCAAAACAAAATGAATACTTGTGTAACTAGGAAAGTTTTTACATTAATATAACAAATTAAAATCATGACCATTTTATTTGATTTGTTAATGAGAAGACCCTGAAAAATTGATTATATACGAGCAAAAAACAAACGGAAACTGTATTATCAGCAGTGTAAATGGCTGCAGCTTTGCTAAAGGGGGTGTGCAGTATGCATGGGTAAATTTGACCTTAAAGACTGACACATCTAAGATGGTGGGTGCAAAGAAATTAAGATACTAAAGAAAAGAATATTTAACTGATTGTTGTTGTTTTGTTTTTTTATTAAAGCTACAGTGTGTAATTTTCAGCGACATCTAGCGGTCAGACTGCAGACTGCAGCAACATGAACGTCTCCCCCCCACCGCTTCTCCCCCCCAACAGTACGGCGAGCGTTACGGGACAAAATGTCTTCCACGACGTCCGCATCACCTACCTTCTCAAGTGATGAGGTTTGTTTACATAGATAATTTTACAGATAGTATTTCATTAGTCTGTGTAGGGTATAGATTTCATGTAGACTTAAGATAATAAATATACCCGTTATTTTTTCTACGTCGTTGTGACGTTTTGGTGAGCTGCTTTGCATGGTGATATAAACAGACGAAGTAATTGTAGTCATTAGTTTAACAGCGAGATTGTGTTCGCTGGAAGAATATATATTCCCCGTTTACAGAGTCCAAGTCTTGTTTGTGGCACGGGGGTTACAAGGCAAGGAAGAGGGAAAGGAAGAGGGCAGAGAGGCCGGGGTGAGCGTGCAGCTGGGGCCAGGCGAGAGAGGGGAGCCAGCGGGGTGAGAGCAGAGAAGGAAAGGCTTGAAGATCTCCAAAGGAGCCGGAGAGAAGTAACCGAGGTATATATCCAGAAAATTATTTTACAGAAAATTACTGAATCATTACCTGTGAAACGTCAGGGACGTTGCTGAATAAGTATACTGGAGAGTAACAGCATCATCACGCAGCATGTTATTGTTTTAGACAGGTCTGAGCATCCTGTACTCCAAAAACTGCAGTGATATTAGACAATTGTGTGTATAGGATTAATTACCTGTCCAAGAGAAAACTGGCAACTTGAGCGTCACTTTGAAAACCTTTTTCCTCCATCAGTGACTTCCATCGTGTAAATGCCGTGCCAATGTTGATCCGTGTTTTTTGTCGTTTCTTGTCACTCTTGCGTTTATTCTCGTCGTGTTTCCGCTTCTTAGATGACGGGGGTTCGGTGTCCGCCGCTTTTCGTTGTGATACAGAGTAGGCATGATCCTCCATTCGTCTGATGTTTGGCCACACAGTGCCAAACAGTTTGCAAAGTCACTCACGCCTGCCGCCTTGTTTACCTTTCTTGTTACCGAGGCGCAGTATACCTGCTTCTTCTTCTTCTTTGGTTTCAGGCAGACTAAACGCTTCTCAGGCATAATACTGCCATCTACTGTTCAGTACCGTCTCAGTTCATCTCTCTCAACTTGCCGTAGTTATTTTCGAGCGTCATGGGAGATCTCGCAATCGCTAGTTTGTTGCCTCTGCGCTGCCGTAGCGCAAAGATGTCAGCCTCCATGGCTGCGAGACCCGCTCCTATGTAATTATAAATAACGAATTCTAAGGCAACGCAAATGTTATGGTTAAAAGGCTGAGCTCATAGGTGATGATAAATAACATAGTTATGTATAATATATTAAATTTCTGAATTTATATGCCTGTAATTATTACACACTGTAGCTTTAAAACTCCAAAGACCAATTATTTCCCTAATTTTCACAAGTACAGAGCAACGAAATGAACTCTGCATTAAACCCATCCTCTTGGGGAGCAGTGGGATGCCATTGTGCGGCGGCCGGGGAGCAGTGTGGGGTTAAGGGTCTTGCTCAGGGACGCAGAGTGGCAGTCCTTGGGAGTGGGGCTCGAACTCAAACCTCAGGTTTTCAAGCTCTATGCCCTAACCACTAGGCCGCCACCAATGCTTTTACAAAAGAATTTGAGTTTCCACTAAAATTTCTTCCAAATTCAATTCCATTCAATAAAAAAAAAACAAAAAAACAATCCTAATGGAGATTTAAATATCAGGGGAAAAAACAAACCTCAGCAACAACATCTGCAATGTCCTGCTTGTCCTGGGCGGAGAGGTCAGGAGCGATCTTAACCAGGACTGGAGGTTTGCGTTCTTCCTGCAGACCATCACGCTCTTTCAACACCTGAGCAGAGAGCATTAGCATGCGGTAAAATGGCTGAAGGAATTTTAAATAACTTCAATGAAAGACCTAAAATATTGAGAACTGGAAGTATTAAAAGATCAGTTCTTTAACTTGTTTCTGAACAACAAGCACGGTTCAGAGTGGTTCACACGCATATAAAAAATAAAAACAAAAAAGTATAATAAAAAAGCCTTTTTTTAGCATAAAGTAATTATTTCAAGGAATTTATTCAAAACTGATTCCAGGTTAAATAACTGTGCTTATGGCTGATCTGGTTAAAAATGTACTATTTATTTTTTCAATCATTATTAATAGAAAAGTTAGCAAGCTTGAGAATATTGGCTAAAGGGCTTTTATCACACATATCGACACTAGAGAGTGGCATTCATTAACCCTGCCCTTGTCCTTTAGCTGTCAGCTGTATGTAGTAATCGTAATCAACATATGCTGCTGAATCTGTTCTGCACCCTTATCAAACATTTGCACGAAATAAACAGATGCAGATCACAATTAAGATTCCGTTTGACACTGCAACAGGCTGGATGGCACGGCTGCATTTGCAAATCTATACTTCTGATGTTACTAAAATTGTCTTTCACTCAGCACTTTTGGAAAAGATTAATGTTGATGATATCAGAAGTACATCCAATCACTGCAGCCTGTTTTTCCAAACATCAAAATAGTTTTTCCAGAGCCACTAGTTGATTTAAGATGTGAATGAGATGAGCCAATGGCATGAGTTTTTTTTTCCTGAGTTATTCTGTGAGGATAATCAAACCACGGTTTGCATTTAATCTCAGCAACAACAAAAAATCAGAACCCTTTATACATAATCCTCCATTGAAAGATAAGGAGGTTGCTCTTTTTTCCATCACATATGAGAGAGCTCAAGCCTTACTGTGGTTTAGCAAATCTATGAGTTTTGATAAACTACATCAGAGGGCTGTTTAGAAAGAAAAGGCAAAACAACTCAAAACCTTTGTGTTTTAAGGCGAGCTGTTTAATATTAGCATAAAATGATGACATCAGTGTTTAATGCTGTGATAATATTGTGATCAAACCCTCTTCTGTTTTTTCCCCGTTTTTTTTGAAGTCATCACAATGTCTGCATCAATCCATTTATCTCACTCACTATAATCTTAATCTGGTATAGACATCAACATAAATAATTATTGATATGTTCTGCTGAGCAACCATAATCGTATTTTTGACAAGCACAGAATCATAATCAGATAAAAACCATAATTGCCAAATAGATTTTTACATACAACAAATTTGTTTTAATAAGAAATGTGCTTCGCATTGACAAACATACAGCTAACATAAAAAAATGGGTAAAAGTAGAATTTAGAATGAATAAATGAAAGTTTCTTAGGGGTGTTACTGTTACAAAAAGAACTTGCGTAAATTTCTGCAGAGGAAAAGCTTTCATTTGTAACTCAGTCTGAAAGTATTGCCTTTTAAACACCGCATTAATACTAGTGAAGCATCAATTCAGTTTTATCCGATACATTACCTAGGCTGAAGCAATATCTGATACTGATCTTATACAAAGGTTGAACGAATGAACATTATATGGTGCCATGTGATTGAAGGCTTTAGCCTTGAAATAAACATTGTTAAAAAATGTAACAGATAAAAATGTACTTTATGCTATTTATTAACAAATAAGCAGCTGAGAGAAAGAAATAACAGTTCCATGTAAATTCAATGGATTGGATCTCCAATATCAAATTCCCAATATCCGATCCAAGTAGAGGACTGGTGCATCTGTTCCAGCTCGCTTATCTGTGAATACACTGCTCCTTTCCCTATCAATAATTGTTTTTATGTTCCTGTATCTGTATTTTGTATTTTCATCTTTTTTATTTATCTTTGTATTTTTTGTAAAGTGATCTTGAGTGTCAAGAAAGGCACTGTTAAATAAAATGTATTATTATTATTATCTCTAATCATAACTAACCTTTTAAAAACGACAATACTGTGATGCCCACTGTGACTCAATAATTGTGCAGCTTTACTATAAACTAAACTTCAATTTGATCTTTTTCAATCTGGCCAATTAAGGTTTGAATCTCTTAAATATCCAGTGATGCCTACCGTGCGTAAAAGCTGGCGAAGTTCAGCCTTCCCCTGCAGATCTCGCAGACCTGGCGTATTGGGGCTGCTGACGTTGACCACCAGATAGTCAGCAAGTGGGCCCAGAGCTCTCACCCCTTCAGAGTAATCTGCAGCAGCATCCTGGGAATGCTTGTTCTTCCCCAGGTTGATGCCAAGGGGCAGGCCGGCTATAAACAAAAGAAACGTGTGCAGGTTTGGGTAAACACAACACACAAAACAGCTGGATCATCATGCGCCTGACTCAACTGGGGCCAGAGAGTGCTGATGTGTTAAATAAGAATGAAGGCAATAAAAAGTGAAAATAAGGTGAGGTCAGGAATATTTGAACACAACAAACATTAGGAAAGAAAAGGACGCTCCATAATCCTGTGCTAAACCTCCCCAACACTCTTCAAAGATCACAATCACACCATCATGAGGCATTAAAATGCTGCCTTGCATGCTGTATTCTTGTTCCAAACAGGTTTAATTGATTTTAAAGTAACCTAAAGACAAAACTACTTACTGTTACTGTGCTCCTGCTGCGTTTCCCCCCTAGCCTTTAGCCTTGTGTGGACTTCAGACAAACCACAGCTGTTGAATCCGTACCTAAAAAAATACACGCACACAAAACATTACTTACTTAATGCAAGTTTACTGCTAAAAACCAACCCATTTGGATATTTAAACAGCAATGAGACATAATCCTGTTCATTTTTTTAATAACTTCTAACTGAACACGACTTATTTATACACATATAAAAAAAATTGAAATGCACCTCAAGTTATTATGCTACAAAAGGAAATTTTTGGAAGTAACCTGTAAAAAATAACAATATATATTTTTGCACCAAATAATCTGATGTATAAACCTGTGTATAGTACTCAATCTAAACACATTTAAAGGTATTGTGGAGGATTTTCACAAATCACAAAAAAGTGCACATGCACAATCCTGTACCCGCAGTATTAAACGCGTGTGAAAACGTGCATGAGACAATTTCTCTTCGTGCACACTCGGTTATAAGTTGCTGTTCTCATAGCTCATACAAGCTCACTGTGTCCGAACGTCTGCCCTAACCCCTAAAACCCTCAATCACTATATAGAGCGGGGACTATATAGGAGAGGTATTGCGAGGAGAGGTTTTCCAGGCAAAGCTTTCTGGGATATATTTGCCTCTTCTGAGGCCTTTCTTCTCTTCTCATACGCTTTGAAGCTTTTTCCTCTAATAAACCTTGACCATTTTAAAACAACCGTGGTGAGAAAGGTGAGCTTCAGTGATTGTCTGAAACCGTAGCTCACACATAGACTTCTGAAAGCGAAAAGGCGCAGAAAAAGATAGCTAACTGCAGACAAGCACATAGGACATTATGTAAACACATCACCAGAATGATTGACAATTAGGAGGGCCACTTATTTAGATCATCCATCCATAAATAAAAGATCATCCTCCACACCTTTAAGTGTTGTAGTGTGTTTAGTTTAAATTAAGTTTTTTTGCATTTTCTCTTTGCAGAGATGCATAAGCCCAGGTGAAATCTGTATTAAATCTATATCACACAGTACATGTTTTACATGGGTGCTGCTACATGTTTTACATGGGTGCTTTTCATACATACCTGTTGATAATTGCCTGATCTGCAGGGAGACGAAACACACGCGGTTTAGGATTCCCCTCCTGAGGTTTCGGAGTGATGGTACCAACTTCAACAAAACCAAAACCCAATTTGAATAAGCCATCAACAGCCTCGCCGTTCTTATCAAAGCCTGCTGCAATCCCAACAGGGTTTCTGAACTTGAGTCCAAGTACATTTACTTCCTGTAGACCAACAGCAGCAAAAAGAATTATATTTTAGATCAGTCTCCAAGAGCAAGGGTTAACAAAACATTTCAGCCTGTGACCCGAAAAACAATTATACAACAGACTGTTGATCCCCTAAAAATACATAACACTTCAGTTTATATTTAATTATACATATAATAAGTATTATTATATTCAGTTTTTAAAAAAATTTAATCATTTATTCATTCATTCCTAATGCATTTTTAATTACAAAATAGGACATTTCATTATTTATTTGTGCATTTTACAATTTAAAGGTATATATATATAATATTTGGGTCATTTATTATACAAATTGACATTACATATACTTAATTCATAATATATTTAAAGTTCATGTTGATTTTGAGCTTTCATATACCTTAAGTATCACATTATTATTGAAATCCGTTTTCTTAGCCCCCCCACTTGGTGTCTTACAACTCTTTAGGCAAACAGGGCCACACCAGAAGGTAGCCAACTTTAGAGAGAAGGCATCCCATATGCCCCATTTACACTATCCCTATGAAACCGATCCATGCCAAGTTCGGACCGATTTTGGATCAGTTAACTGTGCCAAGCTTGGTTCCTTACGAGCATTTAAACATCATGCTAGCACAGTTCCTCGGCTCCTTGTGACGATCTATGGTACTACTGCTATGGATTGAAGGAGGGAATCAAGCAAATCACAATGGCAGTGCCCGAAACATTCAGGAATTTATGTTTGGTAATAGTTGTGATACTTGTTTGCAGAGAGTCAGGTGAAGAAGGCAGCCTTTGGTCGCACCACACTTTTTTGAAGCCATTTCATAAAATGTAGAGTTGAGAAGATTGTTGTTTACAGTTCTTCTTCAGACAGATTTTATTGTCATTCTGTCTTAGGGATGGGAATCGAAAACCGGTTCCTGTGCAGAACCGGTTCTATGTGTTCCAGTTCAATAGCACTGTTTGGCAGCTCACTTAACGGTTCCCCTAACAATTCCAGGCAGCATCAGAGCCGCTCTGGGCAGCACAACTTACGTCACGTTTTTAAGCAAGTTACGCACACGGCATTCAGTAAGCAGTTACAACATGACCAGGCGTAAGTCTAGAAAAGCAAAACTAAAGCGCTCAAAGCGATTGAAAGTTTGGATTCATTTTACGGAAGAGAAAGATGGCAACAAGGTGCTTTGCAATCATTGCAAAGTGGCAATTACATCCGCCAGAGGAAATACATTCAACATGCAGAAACACCTGCGCACACAACATGGCATACATTTTAACAAATGCCGTGTTTTTGATGCTTCCGGACAGAAGCTAAAGTTACGACCAGCATGGAAGGCAACTGTAGTGGTAAGTAGCTAGTTTTACATCACTGGCTGCGCTTAATGTGGTTCCTAGTAAATCATATGCCATTTCCAGAAATAAACCCATTTCCTACCTCTCTTTGGGGTTATTAAACATGCTACGAAGTTGCTTCGCAGTTCAGGAACTGAAAGAAAGGTGGAGATGAGTTTATTTCCCGAAACAGAACAGTAATGCTTTTTCATTAAACGTATGCAGTTTCCATTAGATTTAGATGACTGTGACGATACGGATAGCATGGCTGGCTCAGAGGCTGGCAGCTCCCATAGAATGTCCCAGGCAAAGGTAGACGAATGTCACTGTGCACTTACCAAGTTCATTGTTTCACAGAATCGATAAGGGAATCGGAATCGTGAAAATCTCATCAATTCCCAACCCTATTATGTATACAAAATGAAATTTTGTTTTGTTCAGCTCTCATGACATTTCCATTTCTTAATGTGCAGCAGTGATCAAATGTAAACAGTGTGGAAGAAAAAAAATGGTGCAAATAAACACAATTATATGGAATTTCAGAGCATTTAATATATATGGTGCAATTTAGCAGTGTTTTGATTTGGTGTCAGTCTGTTACATGATTTTGAGTTTTTTCAACAGTTCAGCTGTCTGATGGCAGTGGGGAAGAAGCTGTTTTGGAACCTGCTGGACCTGTATCGAATGCTGCAAAGCCTCTTCCTAGAGGGCAGCAGAGAGAACAGTTCATGGTGGGGGTGTGAGGGGTCATTGATGATGTTACGGGCTCGGGACAAGCAGCGCTGGGATGAAATGTCTTATGGCAGGAAGAGGAACCCTGATGATCTCTCTGCTCTTCTCGCCACTCTCCTCACCTTCTTCCAGTCTGTAGTGCTGCAGCCTCCACACCACACAGTGAGACAGCTGGTCAGAACGCTCTCTATGGTGCTTCTGTAGAAGGTTGGGAGGATGGTTGGGGGCCGGTGGGCTCTCCTCATCCTCCGCAAGAAGTACAAGGAGTTGCAGAGTCTGCTCATGCTCTCTTTGTTATCAGAGAACCGAGCCACAACTGAACCTTACTGAGCCCTACTGACGAATTAGTACTGGTTTAGCGAGGTTCGGCTGTGTCTGCCAAGGTCTGTTTACATTTACACTCAACAGTTATCTAGGTTACCGTGCTCGGACCGCTCTCGGTACAGTTTCAAAAGGGTAGCGTAAATGGGGCTTATGACTTGCTTACCAGTGATGCAGGGTCCTGGTAGCGGTTTAGAGGAACCAGACCCAGTCCTATTAACTTCACTGCCAACACATGTGCTGTTTCTGCACCCACAAGCCTCTGCAGCAGAGGCATCAGGTGGTTGGCATAGAAGCGCTCATCTCCAACCACCGTGAGGTAGGAAGCAAACAAAAGGCTGCCTGAGCCGATGATCCTTACTGCCTCTTTCAGCTGTTTCTGTAAAAGAAAGCAGCACAAAACTAATTCAAATAGCTCTCAGATTAAACTGATTTTAATCAACTTACAATAACAATTACATTTATAATTTTTTTCTGGGCTAAAAGTAACGTAAGGACACAGAGTACCAATGTGTTACTGCATTAATTCTTCAATAGCAGTCTGTCCTCCTCTGGATCTGGAGAAGTCTTTGACTGAAGTTTCAGAGTTCGTAGAACAGAGCCTGCCTTCTTTAACAGCTTATTTAGCTTTTATAAGTAATCTGATCCTATTAGCCCAGCAGATGATGGTAGGTTACACCTTATTCTCCATGACAGACTTATAGAAGCTTTACAGCATCTTGCTACAAACACTGAAGGAACTAAGCTAAATTTATTACTATAATCTGCTCTGGTTCTTGTAGACATCTTAATATTTCTGTCTCCAGTTGAGTTTGATGTCCATGTCAACTAGGGCTGAAACTATTAATCAGATTTATCGGTTATTGAAATAATCATCAACTAATTTAGTAATCGATTAATCCTTAACCAGACACTGACATAGCAACCGACTTTGAGCAGCAGTTCTACCAAACTTGTAAAAAATAAAAACTGTAAACATTTAGCATTTTCGATAAAGAAACATTTCCGTCTGTCAATATGCTCTATCCATAACTCCTCAAGTGGAAAAGCTTTAGTTTCACTTGGTTCAATTTCATAAAACATCATTTTGCTATTTGTTTAGTCATCAATTAATCGGAAAAACCGATTTGCAAAATAATTGTTAGTTGCAGCCCTAATGTGAACACCGAGGTCCTCCACAACTTCCACTCCTTCTCCTTTGATGTTAATAGCTCTTCCTGTTTCTACAATCATCTCCATTTTTTTGTTTGCATTCAGGATCAGATTACTGTTTCCAAACCATGCCACATTGTGGTCCACAAGCTCCCCCTTCTCAGCTTCTTGTCCAACTCTGATGCTCCCAATGATCACAGCGTCATCCAAGTATTTCATCAGAGGACAGCAGTCTGTATTTAACTAGAACTCGGAGGAAAAAGAAATTGCGAGAGTACCATCCCCTGTGGTGCTCCTGTGCTGCTGACTACCTGGTTACACAGTGGATGCTTTAGTCTCATAAACGTTGACTACATTTAATTATCCTTAATTCTTTAAAACTCATCACTCCAAATTTTCAGTCAGTTCATTACAAAGCAATCTTTAAGTAATAAAAATATAGATCAGATCAAAGCGCACCAAAAACGTATTGAACTATGACTTTGTAACACTGTTACATCTCTAACAATATGCATTTAGAAGGGATTTATTCCTTAGTTTCCTGTTAAAACCAAAACTGGCTCAGTTAAAGCCTTTAACAAACACTACAACATTGAAATAAACTCAGAAAAGGGCAGATATGGTGTTGCTGATACCAATGTCTGGTTTCTTTAGGACTTGATCTGTTAATTTAGATGCCTTTTATTTCAATGGACTAAAACACATAAGAGAAAAATGCTGCAGGCACATTGATAAAGGTAGTGATTTTAAATCCCATGGAAAATGAGAGCATTTCTAGCTTATTATACGGTACATTGACTTGAAATAAGTTTAAGTTTGATAAAGATGGTTTAAATGCTGAGCAAGGGGAAACAACCTGCCTGATTGATTTACCTCATGTCTATATCTTGTTTATTTTTTTAAACAAAACAAAAAAACAAGCAAAGTCCAGCGAAAAGCCTGGGGAATTATTGATCAAGACCACTTTGAAAGTAGATTAATGTGCAACCCAGACTAGTCAAAGCTATACATCTTATATCAATAACATCTACACCACATTAAACAGCACAACCAAAAGGCAGATTTTAAGGGCAAAACTGTCTTTAACCTTCTTATGTTTTTTTAAGTGTCCAATGAGAAATTTATTATTCAATTAATGGAACTTTGAAGATGAGATCAGAGTCTCTCAGATCAAGTAATGATTATCATACAGATGACTTATAAAGGAAGCAATATTGTAGTTTCCTATAATGTAAGTTCTTTTTTTTTTCTTTGAATAATAGCTCGGATAATTTTTAAGTCTTTAACTCTAGACCTTCATGTTTTAACTAATAGGCGCTAAATAAAAGCTGCTAAATAAACATATAGAACTCTTTTTTTAAAGCCAAAACTGAGCAATGGGGCTGCATTCACTGCTTTATTGCTGCTTTGGTGCAAAGACAGAGGACGACGAACGGAAACACGTGTGTAATTCAGAAACAACTATTTCAATCACAAAAAAACAAACAACACACTCGCACATATTTTGCTACACTGTGTAAATTTACCTTTAATCGTCCCGCCATGGACGCAACTGTTTCACAGCTGCAAAGGGCACCGCGCGGTTCTATTTCCTAAACGTTACAAAAACACTCTCGCGTCATCCACATCTTCTCGCGATACTTCCCTAAGCTTGACCTGCTGAGGTTATCCTCTTCTTCTTCTTCTTATGGGGTTTTATGGCGGTTGGCAGACTTGTGAATTGTGCATTACCGCCACCAACTGATATGGAGTAAAGCAAGAAAACAGAAAACGATTCACCCCCCCCCCCCCCCAAAAAAAAAAAAAAAAAAAAAAAAAAAAAAAAAAAAAAAAAAAAAAAAAAAAACCTGTGTAACTTAAACCAACATAATACTAAATCACATTTGCCCATATAATTTTTAATTTACTCTAGGTCATCTTAACTCTGCCAGTTTCTGATGGTCCCATCGGTCCTCCCATCATACTTCCAACCATCTCCCAGTTCAAATCTTTAATGTCCAGATATTTTTCTGCAGCCTTCACTATTATTTTGATTTTTTTCCGTTTTTTTTGTTGTCTGTGCAGTACAATTAATTACTTCTACCATGAAAAGAACAAAATTTGTCTTTTTAACAATAAGTGAGTCTTCATCAATTTTTTGATTCTCTAGAGGTTTGGAATTTGCCGTGTGTTGAACTGTAGGTTTGGGTTTTTCTGACTGAGATGGGATCCTTTTTGCAGCTTCAGCGTAGGTTATTCCGAGCTCAAATTTCATTTTTTTAATTTCCTCAGACCTTTTGCTTGCTTCACAGCCGCGATAAGCAGCAGTATGTTCTCCACCACAATTACAGCATTTTATTATAGCTTCTTTTCCACATTTACCATATTCGTGTTCTCCTGCACACCTTCCACACCTCTGTTTCCCTTTACAAACTGCTGCAATGTGACCGAATTTTTGGCATTTGAAACATCTCAATGGTGGAGGATTGTAGATTTTGACATTATAGCTTATGTAACCGATGAATACTTTGCTTGGTAATTGCTCTTCCTCAAATTTAATTAGCACTGATAAACTGTCAGATCTTTCTCCGTTTCTTGTTGTTTTTAACCGTTTTACTTCTTTTACTTTTGCACCGCTTATGTTTTCCAGAATCTCTTTTTCAGAAATTTTTAGAGGAACTCCTCCAATGACTCCCCTGCTGATCTTTTTGTTCTCCATTAGGCTGCACTGAACTCTTATCCCGTCAATTTTGTTGATCCGTATTGCTTTGCCTTGCTGGGCGCTGTCTCTGCAGTTAATTAGCAGGTCTCCACTGTACAGAATTCTGGCACCTCTGACTTCTCCGACAAGTTTATTGATGGTTTTTGTTAAGTGAACCGGATTCCAATTTGTAAAAGAGTCTGCCTGATTAACGACTTTGAATATGACTTTGAATTCATTTTGTTGTGCTGTGGAATGTATGGAATGATCATCACTGGATTGTTCTGAACTAGATTCCCCTTGAACTGATCTCTGTTTTTTCCGCTTTTTCTCATTTTTTGATGTTGCTATCTTCCACCCTTCATTGTCACTATTTCCCTCTTCCATCCCACAAGAATCGCTTCCTGTTTCCTCACTACTCACGGCCCAAGACATTTCTCCATAAGCAGCTTCAAAACACGCGCCATGCACCAAACGACCATCCACATCCCGAGGTTATCCTCAAGAAGGTGCTACATATTTGTAGAATTGAATATAAAATTTGTTATTTCTCGTGACTTTTATCGGACTCAGTGATATGTTCTCAAAATAAATAAATAAATAAATCTATTAAAAGATAGTGTTGATATAGGGTTGCTTAAAGGAAAAATGAGTCACCTTGAGTCACAACAAGGGACTCCTTCACTTTGCATCTTGTTTGAGTGACTGCACTGATTTTCTTAAAGTATTAAGAACATATGCAGAGTTGTTTTTTTCTGTTCCCTGGAGGAGGTTCTATTTTTTTCAAATGAAAAACTGAAGGCACTTGGCTCAGTAGACGGTCCAGCCACAGTACCAGCAGCATAACATCAGAAATGTTATCCCAGGTGTTTATCTTGTTGTGGATTTCAGCAGGATGCCTGTCTTTAACTGAAAAGTGTGAGACCTGCTTAGGGGAAAAACTGGCGGTGACATGTGAGTTTTTTTGGAGAAATGTCTGCTTGGAGTTTGTGGAAGAGACAGAAACCTGGTACCAAGCAAGGAGCAGCTGTGAGGAGAGAGGAGGGAAGCTACTAAATGTGCGGAATAGTTCAATCAAAATGTTCCTGAGTAACATTACCAGAGAGAAAAACACCAGCACTTTTACATGGTGGGTGGAAAATGGGGTCCAAACTCCTCACAGGGATCCCACCACAAGTGAGTAAAATTAGTTTCGCTTCATTGTACTTTATTCCATCTTTAAAATGAAAAATAGATATTCTAGCCTTTACATATAGTATTGTGAAAATGGGCTGTCAAATATGTTTTCACACCTACACCAATGGTCAAATTCAGTATAATTTATTTATAATCTGGTCTTCAAACTCCACAAAATCGACTGCGTAAGTATTAATGTAATAATGGTGAAGTCAGATTGGTAGTTTGTTAAAATTACAAAGAGCATAGCCAAAGATCTCCACAAAACATGAAAAACCTTAAGGTTGACTGTTCATAGGATTGCTATGAGATCATGGAAACAATAAAGGAGGTGGCTGCCTTTGCTTTTGGAAAGTGCATGTAAGAGTCTCATTTGAATTTTCTGTCTAAGACAATTGATTTAAATATTTTGAATACTTTTTCCTACCAAAGGTCTTTACGTCACAGTTTATGAGTGAAAACCAAGCACTCTCCTTAATAAACTGAGAAAAATAACAAGACACTTTTTTTTTTTTTTACATTCTAATGAAACTGAAACAAAATCCCAGTGAGCAAGTAACTGCTTTATAAAGATATTTTATTTTATTGAAATAATACTTAAATGAGAAATAAAAATTAAAGATGTCCAGATAATAATTGCATACTTATATAAATATCGTTAAAAATATTTAAGGTTGTCCAAATAGGTTTAACAAGCCTGAATTCCAAAGTATTTTTATTCAGAGGATTTATGTTGTTATGTTTTGTGTGTATGGCTGGCTGGTCTGTGGCTCCTCACACCTCCTATTGGGCATTCTTATGGGGAATCCTTATTTACACAGGGACCTACTCCCACAGGTGTTCGGATTCAGGTGTTTATAAATACATAAAATATACAAATATATTGCATTTGGCGCTGTAAATACCTCTAAAGTGCATTGTATAAATTAGTAAAATACCCTTTCAGAGACATTGCAGTTATATATCCATGTGTTGTTTCATTGTATTTTTTTAGTATCATTCATGGAAACTGACTTAAAGGTTTAGATACTGTTAAATTTTGAGCTCGTCAATGTTTCTGACAAGACAATTTAAAGAGACTAAAAGGGGACTAACATGTATTCCGTACTTTGATGTTATAATAATTTAAGTGTACATTTATTTATCACTTTTTTTCAGTGTTACATTTCATTTTACATGAAGGATGTTTGGCATTTTACCAATTTAAAATTCTGTTAACTGGCAGTTTCGTTTTGGTTTGACTGTGTGCCAGGTCGTAGTACCCAGCACCCAAATTGAACATATTTAGCAGCTGTTTGTAAATCTGGATTTTCAATCAGGAGTCATAATCTCTCATATTACATAATAGTTAGCAAGCACAAACACGGATCAGACTCACAATCAGTACAATATATTCAACTAAATGAAGTGAATTTATCTTCCTAAATATGTTTCTCCAAAGTTTAAGAAAAAGGTCAATTATCTAAAGAATAAACTTGTCATACAACAATAATGTGCATAGCTTTAAAGCTGTTTACAAAAAAAGACGTAGGTTTGAACGAAACAGCAATGCGGTGTTATATAATAATAATGTAAACCAGACAGGTAGAAAGCTGGCTCACAGCCTCCACTTTGTTGGTAAATTATATTTAAAACTAAGTAAAGTTTATTTAAAGCATAACAGGTGCATTTTTTTTAAATATCTTAATTTATCTCTGTTTATTCTTTTTTTATGGCATGCCAAAATGTATATATGTGCATTTAAACTCTAAGTTGAGATAAACCCTTATTATAACTGCTAAATAGAGTTTTGAAAGTTTATCTTTTAGTTTGATGATGTGTTGAGGTTTAAAAGTCTTCCTATGATTGCCCTAATCCTTTGGTCGCCACATAACTAAAATCCACTCCAGAGCATTTGTTTAAAGATGCAGGTTTAAATGAAACTATTTTAAGAAACCTAAATCAAATAGTATTTTAAGCTAAAATGTATTTCTTTATTTATTTATTTTTTTTTTTACACTTAATCCCTTGACCTCAAAGCTGGTAAGGTACTGCACCCAGTCTTATAGCCTACTTGTATTCTGCTCTCTGGAGGAAAATCGTAGTACTACATATAGAATTAAATCCTACACTCATTTAAAGGGGAATTAGTAAGGAGTTTTTTTGGTACTCCTTTTGGAACTGAATGTTATATTTTCTATATCAATATTATCACTTATATCACTTATATAAAAAAAAATTACAATCATTGAAACAATATTTTTGTTAAAAGCAAATAGTTGAAGGTATAATCCCAAAAGTTTGAATTTCTGACTATAATTTCTTCTGTCAGGTCTTAAGTCAAGCAAAGGTAAAGCTTTAAAGGAACCATGCACATACCTGAAGCTCAATCCTCTTCAGCTCCGAACCTCTGACTGCAAAAGAAGACGAAGATTTCTATGCAGTCATAGTAAGTGGAGGCTTCCAGATAATTAAAACTTCATTTCTGCACTTTCTCGCAGCTGCCTTGAAATATTGTTTATCACCAATGAATTTCTTTTACACTGTATTCAAAATGCTAATATCTCCTTCTGACTCTAAAGCTTTAGTCTCTCCATCAAGTTTGGAGGTAAGAGATATATCTCATAATAAATGATAAAACACTGCAGAGACCAACATTGATGTTTTTGTTCGTTCACATTTTCTTTCAGAATATAAGAAAACCCATGGATACAGTTGGACATCGTAAGTTTGCTTATTTTGCTACTTTTGATGTAAACCTTGATAGGCTGAAGTATATTGAGGATAATCCTGCCATAATTAAAAATAAATACAGAAATAAGTAAATGCTCCAAAAATAAATAAGCATACAATTAATTGCCCCTCAAAAAATACAATAAACAAATAAATATATATAAAAATTAAATTATACAGTGATGACGCTTCTTTGTTTTTTTTTGCCTTTGTAATAATTACCTTATTTATTGTCCTTTATGATCTTCAACTTTTTTTATTAAAAAAAATATATATTCTTCCAATAAATAAAGTTGAAGATTATAAAACACAATGAATAAGGTAAATAAATAAGGTAATTATTACAAAAGGCAAAAAATTAAAGAAGCTAATTAAAAGAGATATATACATTTATGTCTCGCTGTATAATTTAACTTCTACCATATTTTCACGACTATAAGGCGCACTTAAACGTCTTTTTTTCCCTCAAAATGTGCGGTGCGCCCTTTGGTGCGGTGCGCCCTATGTGTGTTGTAACTGCGACTTTTGAGACCACCTCATTGAGGAGATGATGAAAGAGTGGCTGAATGTATGGAGACCAGGTGTTTTTTTCCACTCATCACCATCGCTGTTAATATGTGACTCCATGCGTGCCCATCTCACAGCTGATGTGAAAAACATGGGGAAACAAATTAACGCTGTGCTCGCTGTTCAACCGCTGTTCAACCGACCCAGCAGGTGCAGCAGAAGCAGCGAGTTTACATGCAAAGTCAATGACGCGCGTATAGGTGCAGCAAAAAGCGCGTTTTGAGCAGCAGCCGCAGCGCCTCGGGAGCGTTTAAGTATCTGACGCACCGCCAACGCGCTGCTGCTGCTCGAGATGGAAAAATTGAAGTTTTGCTGCTGGACGCGCCGCATCAACCAATCAGAGAAGCTGATCTGGGAGCTGACAGCGAGACAGACACAGCGCTCTGATGACATATGATATTAACACAAATGAAACGGGCTGGATGGGTGAGGAGATGATGAAAGGCAGGTGTATGTGAGGAGACCAGGTGCTTTTTTCCACGCATCACCATCTCTGCGTGCCCATCTCACAGCCGATGTGAAAAAAAAAGATGAATCAAATGAATGCTGTGCTCGCCGTTATCCTGGGGGTCTGACAAAGGAGCTTCAACCGCTCGACACTCAGTGTGAAGCGGCCGTTCAAAGTAAGGCTGTGAGCGGCGTGGGAGCGATGGATGACCGACGGAGACCACAGTTTCAGGATAAGTGGAAGGCAGCGCCGGGCAAGTTACGCCACCTTTAGCGGATGGATTGTAGATGCTTGGACTAACGTGTCTGCTGGCTCTGTTGTTCAAGCTTTTGCAAAAGCCGGCATTATTTCTGAGGAGCTGCGCTGCACGGAAAGTGACTCTGACAGCGAAGAAGGGGAAACTGGCATGTCTGATTTAGCGCAGCTGTTTAATTCAGAAACAGAGGATGATGACTTTGATGGGTTTGATTAATACTTTGTAATAAATACATGAATAAAGCACAAACATACTCAGTTTTGCTCCCGCTCTATTTTTCTACCTGAAAACTTAATGCAACAGCAGCCTCTGGGCGGGTCTCCTCCTCTTCACCGCGGTGGCTGGCAGGTGTTTTTTCATCTAAATAATCTAAATCTTGCAGCTATATTTGCTGTGATCAGTGGGAATAAAGTAGTTTTAATATGTTTTTAAGTGAGAAAGGCCACCTGAAAACTTAATTGCAGTCAGTTCATCCAGATTATCTATTTCTGTCGGAGGCGCTCAGACCCCCACATACCAGCGGTGCACCGACAGCAGAAATCCATTCAACAGCAGCCTCACCTTGGCAGCTGGCAGGTGTTTTTCATCTAAATAATTTAAACTGCAGGCACCAGGATACCGGCAATAAAAGCGAACATATTCCGTCGGCAGGTTTCAGGATTTTAAGTTAATTTAGGAGTCATCACAGCTCTGTCATCTGCGATGTGTCTGTCTCCAGTGTTGGGCACGTTACTTTGAAAAAGTAATTAGTTATAGTTACTAGTTACTTCTCCCAAAAAGTAACTGAGTTACTAACTGAGTTACTCCACAATAAAAGTAACTAGTTACTAGTAAAAGTAACTATTGCGTTACTTTTGCGTTTCTCGCCCCCGTAACCCTCACCACCCAGCCCCCACCTTCTCGCCGTGTGTTTCCAAAGCCAGCTGAATAGAGCGGACGACAAAGACAAGAACCTGCAGAGAGTTTTGCATTTCTTGTAACTCAATGTAAATTAAATCAGGGGGGAACGCTATGTGAATTTTTTTAACAGGGCATTCAGATCTGGTGAGTTTATGAAATTAATAACTGGGGATGTCTAATTCTGAAATCCTTTGGTTTGGGTTGTTATAGATACTGCAACATCTATCTATCATCTCTAGATGTATACTCTGTGTGTGACATAAAATTTGGATCTCCATCCCTGCCACAAAGGCCATCAAATAATGTTTAAAATAAAAAATACAGTAGGTTGAAAAGTCAGAGTATCCATCCGTCCATCCATCATCCATCCATCCATCCATCCATCCCTCCATCCAGATTTCTCCCTTTCATTTGATCGTTCACGCTCTCCATAGTTCTCCTGTGGCGCGAGCACAGGGCGACTGTTACGCGCCTTTAGCGAGCATGCGCGTTTCCTGTTGCTTGCGCGGTGACTCGTGCCGCCTGCGCTGTGCGGAGATGCAGGGGAAACCTTTATCTGATGGGGAAACGCAGCTCGACGTAACACCAGTATTTCCACGTGGAAAACGCTGTTTTGCTGCTGGATCCTCCTCACTCTCCATCTCTCTGTGTGTGCTGTACGTTAACACCCGCCAGCAGAAACACCCAACTGACAGACGGAATCTCACTATACATCAGCCATTCTCATCCTCCCCTCTCTCATGACAAGGCGCACACCTCTGGATGACCTAAAAAATAATCTTTAATATCTCTCAAACAAAAGTAGCACAAACAATATTTTTATCTGCACTGACGTTGCACTAACCATTCAGTCTATTTGCAGAGTTTTTTGACGTGGGTGTGGTGTCAGCTTCACGCAGCTGCGCGCGAGTCCTAGCATGAAAAAAGGTTCATTGTGCGACCTGAGTAACGCGCAGTAACGGGGTGTATGCAATGGTAACTGCGTTATAGTTACAGTCAAAGTAATTAGTTAGATTAGTCGTTACTAAAACAAGGTAACGGCGTTAGTAACGCCGTTACTTTCAACGGCGTTAGTCCCATCACTGTCTGTCTCACGGCCAGCTCGCAGGTTTGATTAATACTTTGTAATAAATACATGAATAAAGCACAGTCATACTCAGTTTTGGGCCCGCTGTATTTTTAAAATACGCAGTAGAGCTATTTAAAGGTAGTAGAGGACATGTACCTGTATATAAAAAATGCGCCCTATAGTCCGGTGCGCCTTATGTGTGTGTTAAATACAGAAATGGCACACATAACTGAGACTGCGCCTTTTAGTACGGTGCGCCTTATGGTCGTGAAAATACGGTATATACATTTATTTATTTGTTTATTATGTTTTGGGGGGGAATTAGTTGTATGCTTATTTATTTTTGGAGCATTTATTTATGTCTGTATTTAATTTTTAATTATGGCAGAATTGGTCCTCCATAGAATTATGACAGTGTGTTGATTCCAAACCTGGCTGAAAAATCTAATAATTATTTATTATTTCAGGGAGCAAAAGAGATTTAGTACATAATATGGGACTAAACGTTGACAACATTACTGTTCTACTAACGGTGAGGCAAAGATCTGAAGACAAGAAATGAGCTTGAGATAAAAGTGCAAATATTTCCTAAATTTCACATTGAAATATATATGCTGTGTTTCTGAGGTAGCATGCAGAGAAAAAGCTGCGACACATGGAAACAACTGTCAGAGAGCCTAAAGAAAGCATGGTGGGAGCCTTTGTTGACCTACTTTATAAAAGCCTAATTTCATTACAATGTTTTACAATATGTCAATCATTGTTGTTTTTTTTCTCATAGGACAAATTTATTGAATATTTGTTAGATGGCACAAATAACTTAAATCGATCTTTTGCTTTGGAAAACCCTGGGATCATCGACAGGATCATCAAGTGTAGCAATGCCCTCTGGAGTCTGGTGTCACAGGAATGCGATTTTGAAGACAATGAAAATAAAGTAAGTTGGGTGTGCTATCATTTAAACACATCAATGTTGTGTAACTGTTTTGGTGAATATTAGCAAATAGGCTATGTTATTTGATCAAATCATTTTCGGACTGTCATATGTTGTTCTGTGAACACACGCCTCACTGTCTGTGTTTCTGAGCGTGAATCAAGCTCAAACAGATAACTTTGCAAACAGACGGAATAAACTGAAAACAACATCCATTCAACATTTAAGAATTTATTAACAAAATAATTCAACTCCACATCAAAAACATTTAGGTAAAAACTCTTAATTAATCAAGTGAATCTAAGCTACTAAGAAGACAAAAAAAAGGAAAACCTTTATAGCAGTAGGTGTCAGTAGGCACTGATGTATTTAAGCAGCATGGAGGTCCGTCCTCCTGCAAACATTCCAAATCAGATGCAAATTTAATAGCAACTCCTTGTTCTTTTCTTGTGTATGAGCTGTGTGATTGGTCTTTTCCATCATAATGGGATTGCTTATGTAATTTCTTTGGAATGAGTGCAATGACTGAATTTTAAGTGCTTGGAAGGTGAAAGCAATATCCTCCTGTGCAATCCTCCCCCTCTGTTCAGTGAGTGGTTTTCTCTTTTCACAAAAAAGGTTTCCTTCACCCCTCTCCCAAATCACCTGTCTTCTCTGTCCAGAATCTGAACACTTTGGTCTTCAAAGGTGTGCCCCTTTTTTTTGAGGTGCAAGTGTACGGCTGAATCTTGCCCAGAGCTACTGGCTCTCCTATACTATGTCATGCTTTTATGTAGTTGTTGTTTGGTTTCTCCAATATAGAAATGAAATATATTGTAATGAGCATATCAGGAGACACATAAAAGTTAATGCATTAGTGTTTAAACCCTTTGTGAAATAAAGTATGTTTTAGCTCTATAAACTTGGGGAGTGTGGCCTAGTGGTTAGGGCATTGCGCTTGGAATCCTAAGGTTCTGAGTTTGAGCCCCACTCCTATGGACTGCCACTCTGCATCCCTGAGCTAAGACCCTTAACCCCACACTGCTCCCCGGGCACCGCACAATGGCAGCCTACTGCTCCCCAAGGGGATGGGTTTAATGCAGAGAGTTCATTTTGTTGCTCTGTACTTGTGGCAGTGCAATGACTATTAAAAAAATTAAAAATGAAAAAGCTGAAGCTGAAACAAAAGCTCAAAACATGTAAACAGTGGGTACTACACAGTCACCGTTACACAATAGTCAACACAAAGAATGATAAACAAAAATCAGAAAACCAAAATGTTTAGTGGAAAATTCTTTTTTCTAACTTTTCCAGACATTTAACCTATGCTGATCTCCCTCTTGGGAAAGTGAGGCGTGTTGAAAGTTCAGGAAAGCTTTCCCCAGACCGTGTTGTTGGATAGCAGGGGTGGAGCTACATGTGGGGCCAGTGGTGGCCATGGCCACTCTTAGCCAATCATTGGCCACCCCTGTGGCCACCTCTATCGTTTTCTTCCCTCTGATACAGATGGTGGCAGCAGCAATACTCTCAAGTGGAATGTTCAAAACGTTTACATTTTTCTTATATTAAGAGTTACTTGAGAACAAAAACACTGTGGTTTATTATACACATCAATATACTAACATTAAAGATGATAAGTACAGTATGTATATATATACAGAATATATAATATATAAAGCTTCATCATGGCTTATGCCATAGTAGGTCAGATATTATTGCTTCCCCCTTTTTTCCAGGACTTGTTTGAGAGGATATTTGAGATCACTAAAGCAGCTTCTCTAAAAGGGGTGGACAAAGAAAGGATCACTAAGACCCCATCAGCCACTGTCTACACAAGCGCGTAAGTTTCCTTTCTGTTTTATTTGTTTGGGTTTTTTTTTTTCTTGTCTAATTTTACAAAATTTAATTATCTTCAATCAGCCGCAAACCTAATGAACTCGCTCACTCAGTGCTGGGTTCAGAGGAAGATGGATATGTTAAACTCCCCTCATTTTCAGCAATGGAATCACTGATTGGACATTATGACGAAATCATTGCCCAGGTCTGTGTGAGCTTGTATGATATATATTGTTGATGTTTGTTTGTTTTTTCTTTTCTGGTAAATGCAGCCTTTCTAAATTATATTCTGTCTCATTTTTAGGTGGCTACATTCTCATCCAACCCCCACCCCTCTGCAGACAACATATCAGGGCGAGTTTGCAACATTGTACTCAGTGATGGAAAATCTGAGATTTTGATGAAAAATCTGTCTGAGATGATTGAGGTGCGAAAACAAATCTGTTTTAATGTAATTTAGGAACCAGCTTGAATGTTTTACTCTCAATACCTGTGCATTAAATACAGATAAATCCGTGTAAATTAGAGTATTTAGAAGTTTACTTGAGACAAAGCTGCTCAAATAATAATATTCATATAAGAAGAGCAATTTCTATATTCATAGCTATGATCTGAAAGTACTTTGAAATTCTGGGGAAATATTCAGAACACCCCCTATGTTTCAACAATTTTCAAAAAATATGAGGTCCTATATTTACAAGTCTGTCTACATTCTAACTCACTGGTGAGCTGATAATTATGATCAAAGATACAGGTGGATGGATGGATGGATGGATGGATGGATGGATGGATGGATGGATGGATGGATGGATGGATGGATGGATGGATGGATGGATGGATGGATGGATGGATGGATGGATGGATGGATGGATGGGGTGCAGAGATTTGGATGTTTGGATGCCCAGCTCCACTCACATGTGAGCGGAGCTAGGCGGAGCGAGACATGCATCTGGCTTTTGTCAGGTTACTATTAAGTAGCTATGAATATTTAATATCTTACCTGTTCTTGGTAACCTTTTTATTGACTTCACTATTAATATTATTAATATGCAGCTGGACTGATTATCACTAAACACAAAAGTAGGGTGCAGTCTATAGCAATAACTTTCTCCTTTTAAAAAATTACTGGAAGAAGTTTTTTTAAAGCTTATTCAGCAAGAATGATTATCTATTGCAAAGGCAACACAAAAGGAATCAACTGTTTAAGGGAAGACTTGATGTTTTACTTATTCATGAAATAGTTTTAACTGAACCTGCAAATCTACTGAGAGCTAATAACCTTTCAACTGAATAAAATCAAAAGTTTTTCTTTATACGGGTTGATTATCTACAGCTTTTAGGTCAATTATCAACAAGTGTATTCATCTCCCCAATAACACAGTATTAATAAAACATGAACCTAATTTGTCTAAACTTTAATTATTGCTGGCTGTTGAAAATTTATCAAGTAAATGCCTTTTCTACCTCTGGTTTCCTTAGATCTTTTTGCCCCGCCCTAGTAGTTCAGGTCTGACCAACAGCACTGTCGTGATGACTAAAGACACAAGGTCTTTGTCTCAGATTAATATCTCTGACACTGAGATGACCATCTTATTTCACGTGGAACCCAGCATCAACGTGTCATTAGCCGTTTTCTTGTCTTACGGATCACCTCCCAACTCCACATATTACCACAACAAAACCATTTTGAACTACACAGGTAACAATCGTTATAATCTTCACTAACTTTTGCTGTGTGTGTTTCAGTTTTGGTGATGGACAGATTTATTTTGGTTTTAGATGACTATCGCTGGTTGATAACCCCAGAGATGTTGCAGAAGACTCAAGGGGCTTGGTACTTGGAAACCAGCCTTCTAAACTTCACGTTGGAAACTGAAGTGACACTAAACATCAACACATATTTTAGCAGGTGCCTCTACTGGCACACTGAGAAACTGGAATGGAGCGACGAGGGCTGCAGGGTATGCTTACATTTTAGATCTACATAGGTATCAGCAGTTGATGCACATCCTACTGAGCAATTATACATGTTTCTGTGTGATGCAGGTGGGGGAGAAAAGTACTCCAGAGCTGACACAATGTTTGTGTAACCACATGACTCTCTTTGGGAGCTCCTTCTTTGTGATGCCAAACTACGTCGATGTGTCTCGAACAGCTGAGCTGTTTGCCACCGTGAATGAGAACTATGTGGTTTTGGCCCTGTTGTGTGCTTTCTATGGTCTTTATCTGATCACGCTGATGTGGGCCTGCTATGCTGACCGCAGAGCAAGCTCTAAGGTCAGACATCCATGCAAACAATACGTACTTAAGATTTTACATTCTGTGTGTTGTTAAATAACTCATTTCAATTGGAATAAAGAGCTTCTTCTAGCTCATATAATTGCATTCTAAACTGTATATTCTACAGAGGAAGATAACACTGCTAGAGGACAGTCACCCAGGAGCTCATTACAACTACCTGATTGGGATCCAGACAGGACATCGCAGGGGTGCTGGCACTTCTGCTAATGTAAGACTTATCAATTAACAGACAGAATTTTGCATTGCTGTGTTTTTTTACTATTTGATGTTGTCATACACTATGTGTTTCCAAACAATATATAGATGAAACAGTATTTTAAAATAATATTAACCCTATTTTGTATTTTTAAGCTCACGGAGCTAGCCAAACTTTGTGAGAAACTGAGGTATTTTACAGTTTAATGTAAATAAAGCAAGTCAGTGATCACAGCGCTTTTATCTCATTCTAATACTAGGGACTGAGGGCCGGATCTATCAAAGGTTTGCGTGTATAAAAACGTGAGCTATTTCACTGTGCACGCTAAAAAATGTACAAACTGTACAAACTGATCTATCAACAGCGTGCTAAAAGGATTTGGTCTTTAAAACGTGCTAAATAGCGCCTCTTATCCATTTAGTACTTTTTCTGCTATGAATATGCAATATGGGGTGTTTACACGCAAAAGCGCGTCTTGTGGGAGGAGAACATGTAAATATATTAATTTAGCACTCGCAAAGTGATTTACTAAACCTGAAAGCATTTTTGCTAACGGTATCTGACTCTATATTTAACACGTTTCAAAAGAAGGTGCAAATGGTCTGTATGCGTAATTGCGCACACATGGCAGCGGTTATTGTCGCAAGAAGGAGACATCGAAATGAAGCAAGGAGACGCAGAGAACGCATTTTTTCACTCCGTGTGAATATTTTTGGAATGAACGAGGAAACGATCATCAAAACATTTCGTTTATCCAGCAATGCCATTTTAAAGCTGCAATTCCAGTGATTTGCTCCTCACAGAGCTAGCCTGACGTAGTCCGACTCAATTCTAGTCAGAATATGAGTCTGATACTGCTCCATAGAGCTGTGATTATGGGGCGTGTTTCTAACGAACCAGGAAATAAAAAATGCCTCTGCACTCAATTGGATAGACCTACAACCAATAAGAGCAACGGAGTGCGTGACGTATGTTAATCGAGGCATAGTTGTTGTCCACAAAAATCAAAGCGTGCAGTTTCACGCCTAGAATAAGAAGATGAGACTTGATCGCGTTTCTCTGTTCCTCTTTTAAAATTAATTTGCTGTCGATATCTTCTAGAACAGACCTAATAGCAGAATCTACTCACCCAAACGCTCCAGCGGCAGCCATTATTGTTGTCACCGTAGCGCGCTTTGGTCACGTGGTTGATTACGTTACTCTTGATCATCTGTTCATCATCGTATAAAGTCCGCCCTGACAATTTGATTGGATCGCCTGACACTGGGCGATAATACTCGCGCTACTATGGAGCAGAGCCAGACCGAACTTCCCCGAACTCAAACCTTGTGGGCGGGGCTAAGTTCTGACTGGCACCCAGGCTATCACAGAGCGTCAGCTGTACTTGTTCCTCAATGCTGGTCAGAGGCATCTCATCTACTGTGCCCCCTCCTGTTTTGTTCGCAGATGTTTTGTTATATGCCAGTTTTTCTTTGGTTCGCCTTCTAATATCCTGGTATCTTCTTTTTACTTCATCAACTGTTCGCAAGGTTTCACCAACAGCGTTTACTTTATTACAGATTTGTTCACATATAGCGTTCCTCTGTGTGACAGGCACACTTCTTTGCTGTAGCTCACTTAAATGTTTGTTGGCTTCATCCACCAATACCTCCATTTCCATGGGGTCAAATTTCCTTTTGCGCCTTCTGCTGTCCAAACTCGAAACCACAAAACGCGCAAAACCATCATTTAAATAGGGCGTCTCCAACAGTTTTGCACCTGCCACCAGTTACACAATCGCTCTTGTTAAATCACCGGCAAACCATGGTTCAGCCCCTCGCGCAAAATTCCAGTTTGCGAGCGCAAATTACTGCACGCAAAATTGGATCTTTATAAATCCGGCCCTGAATCTCCAGTCAGCACATATTATGTTTTGATTGTGAAATTTTTCTTATATGGCAAATGTATCTTTATTCCTTTACAACAAAATCTGCTGTTTACTACCACAGTGTAGTGTAATCTAACACAAAATTACTATGTATATATATATATATATATATATATATATATATATATATATATATATATATATATATATATATATATATATATATATATATATATATATATATATATATATATATATATATATATGCTAGTTCTTTTATGTCATGTCGTTCTTTTACGTGCATCATTGTTGCTTCATTTATGTGCTGTCAATCAGTTCTTATTTCTGTCCTGCAGGTCACAATTAAGCTGACTGGCACCGAAGCAGACAGTACCATACATACTCTCACGGATCCAGACAAGCCAGTGTTTGAGAGAGGATCTTTTGATATGTTCCTTTTGTCCACACCTTTCCCACTTGGAGAACTTAAAACCCTGCGTCTGCAGCAGGACAACTCAGGAGGTCACCCATCATGGTAAATGAGATATCGCTTTTGAAACAATGAAGCTTTCAATGCTCATTCATACTAAAGCAGCAAAAAAAAAAAAAAAAAAATTTACATGTTTTTTTCTTTTATAGCACTTTACCTATAACTCATTATTTTATTATTTCTTTTCACATGTTAAGGTATGTCAGCAAAGTGACTATACAAGACCTGCAAACAAAAAATGTTTGGCACTTTTTCTGTAACTGCTGGCTGAGTTCTGACCAAGGAGATGGTATGACCAAGAAAACGTTCAATTCTGCAAAAACCAATGAGATCGCCAGCTTTAGGTCAGAATCTTCGTCTTTCTTTGATCCCGTTCCTACCTTTTGGCAAGGCTTGATTTAACTGTTATCTTGTTTTTATAGGAACATTTTCACGAGTCGAACGTCAACTGGTTTTAGGGATGAACACATCTGGGTGTCAATTGTTGATCCCCCCTCCCGCAGTCCATTTACTCGAGCTCAGAGGGTTTCCTGCTGCATGTGCTTGCTCCTGTGCACCATGGCCATCAACATTGCCTTCTGGAACATTCCTTTAGATCCAAACTCTAGTGTGCTCTTTTCAATGGGTGACTGCAAACTTTTCATCTAAATATCTTGATGATCTGAGGAGAAACGTTTTATGCACTAAGAAAAACATTTGAACACTAAATGAATACTTTAGAGAGGTTTAAAATCATTCAAATCTTGTTTCTATTGGGATGTATGGGTAGTGTTTACAATAAATTTGCCTAAACAAATTAGGAATTAGAACCACTGAGACGTTCAAAGAAACTGCTCCAACAATATCAAAACAAGACACAAAAATAGACCAAAACGAAAATCCTTGTTTTCTTAACTTAAAAAAAAACATGAGAAAGACGTTATTTACTCATAAACAATAACAGAACAATAGGCACTGGATGAAAATGCCAAATACTAATTATTTCCAGTGGCACATTATATGTTTTATTTGAAGCTTTGAAATTTATACAGTCATATTCATATAACTTCTGATTGTGTTGATAGAGTAAAGATTTCTTAAAATAGACAATTCTGATCTTTGTAGCTAATGCAAAACTGAAAGCAATGTTAGAATAAACAAAAATGTGTTGATAAATATAGAAATTTATTGTAAAATTATTCTAGATTTTCTTTTAGACCCTTTATAAAAGGATTTTACCTGAAGTAAAATATACCCTGTTCATCTAATACAAAACGAAAAAAGGAACACCAAACATTCATCAAAGTGTATTTTTATAGTATCATCTGATTTTATGTTAGATTAAAATAATGGTAGTAATATATTAATTCAATCCAATCCAGTATAGGTGAATTTAGATTGTCCCATTCATACTTTTAGAACTTTTATAATGTCTTAATAAATATCATATCAGTACACTGAAAGAAAAATACATATGAAGACAAAAAATACATCACACACATTGGAAATGTTACCATGATATAAAAAATTTGTTTAAAATGCAAATTTATGAAGAAAAAATAAAGATACACTGAAATAAAAGATGCATTGAACATATTTGGCAGCTTTGTAAAAACAAGGGAGATGTGAGCAGTTTATAACACAGAATTATCTTTCAAATTTATTTAGACCCTCGACTACCTCCAAAGACATCAGTGATTTGAGGAGGCTCCGTTTTTTTTCAGTGTTTTATTCAGAAAAAAATCCCCGTTCTTGCAATTCTTAAGATGGTTGATAGGCTGGTTCAGTTTTAAACTAAATAAGGTTAGCAAAATTGAATAGTCCTTAACTACGCCTAGGTTTGTGGCATAGTCTGTAGATCTCACTGTACTTAGCCCATTTAAGCTCTGAGCTGTAATATTGCACTATCAGGTAAAAAACATAGTTTTTTTCTTTTACAATAATGTTAAAGAACGTAGCAGTACTTTTGTCTGATCCATTTTTAAAATAAATTAACGAAAAGTAAAGGGCAATTTGTTTTACTACATTAAAAGCTTTCATGTGAGACGCTTTGAATTACTTCTGGCTGACAATGTCTTATTATTTTCACTCCAGGGTCCATCCAGATGACTTGGCAGGACCTCATGGTTGGTGTGCAGTGTGGCCTCCTCATGTTCCCCATCAACATCCTCATCATAACCATCTTCCGGAGCATTCGACCTCGCATTGTGTCACAATCCAAAAACGACAACCCTGATGAGATCTTCAAACCTCCCATTGTCACCATACCAACTATTCTGAGGGTGACTTTTGTTTTTTAAGATCAGATTTAAAAATTGTTAGACAGTTGAGCGCAGATAATAAAAAAATATATTTTATTGCAGGAAACCGAGCATCTGATTTCTCTTGTGAGCATGAATCCCAGGAACAAGATGTCCGAGATGCTCAAGCTTGAAGCCTCCTGTGACCTCGTACCAGCTTTGGAAAGGCTTCATATCCTTATCCAGTATATTCAAGGTATAGATTGTAGCCTGAAAAAAACAAACTATAAAACACATTGTATGTAATTAAAGGGAAGAAACGTGCTAAATTACGTTTAGGTTTAAATAAAACTAGATGAGCTTCTAGAAAGGCAGACAATGAAATAAAAAAATAAATAAATCTAACAACCCCAAGAAAATAAACAAAGCTGTTAACTAAAGTTACTGATGTTAGCAAATAATTTAGAAAGAAGCATTTCAAGCACATATTATGTGTACCTAAGTCTTTAAGAAAAATTTCATCTGCCATAAAAGAAAATTTTCACACAAAGCAAAAAAAAAAATGTTTTATGTAGGTTTTTTGGCTGAATGCACTACAGGAACAACAATGTGTTTCAATATTATGACCTAAACTCCACCAAAACAGAGAGAGCTGTGGTAAATCTAATGAGGAAAAGGGAGGAATGTGTCCCTCCAGGAGATGCACATCTCTCATTACCTCATAAGGACCATTTACATCCCTATTCTTGTGGAAAAAAATAGATAAAAGTGCCATTAAATTTATAAATCTGCAATAAGGCAGACCTAAAAACCCATATCGCACAATATATGCATTACTTTTTACATTTCTTTTGTTTTGTTTTTTGTTGTGTTATTGGTGTTTTTTAATTAGCCATATTGTATGCATCATTTTTAAAGACAATAAAGGTTAAAATGGTAACTCTTAACTGGATTTATTACATCATAACAGCCTGTGTATGTAGTTACAGTTTGATTCTCTATAAAACTAAATACCTCAGCGTCTGCATGCCTCTGATAGAATCATAATGTCAAGCTAGCCCTTATATTATTCCCCTACAGGTGAGAGTGAGAGCGACAACCACTGGGTTTACTGCAGCAAGTTCCTCCTGGCCGGGCTGTGCAACCTCCACATGAACCTGGAAAAACTGGATGCGAAAAACTTCTCATCTCCAGAAGAATACCAGAGTGCTCTCAATACCACCAACCTGCTGGTTCGCAAGGCTGAGATGGTTTTCACCAGTCATCTGTCCAACTGGTCAGCCCACTCACTTCCTCTTTTACATCTCCTCACCCATCCAATCCACTTTATTTATATAGAACATTAAAAAAAAAAAATTCCAATGTGCTGTACATAAAAACAAACAAAAAAACCCAACATACCCATGTTTTCTGTCGTTTATTTCTCATTTCTACCTCTCTTGTTTTAACAGCCCAGCACCTGTGAGGAAGAAGAAGAAGGCAACAGCTGGATTTAAGCTTCCCTGGTGGTGTGTGTTCATTGGCTGGTTCCTGTTGATCTCCATCAGTGGTATATCCACTTACTTCACCCTACTGTATGGCTTCCAGTATGGAAAAGAGAAATCTATTAAATGGGTCATGTCTCTGGGACTGTCCCTCTTCGAGAGCATCTTCATACTGCAGCCTCTGAAGGTGGGTTCTTTAAAGAGAATTATGTTCTGGTTAGAAAATGTAGCACTTGTTGTGTACTTTTTGTCCAGTTTTTCACCTGTCTGTGAATACAAGACTTCTAAAGGATTTAACTTATATGTTTTTTTTGTTTTGTTTCTCAGGTGATTGGTGTGGCTGTGGTCTTTGCCCTGCTGCTGAAGCCTGTGGCTGTGGAGGAAACTGAGGAGGCAGCACAGGTGCTGCTAGGTAAGATGGAGCGTAATATAGTAAGGCTAGTTGTTGTGGATAACAGCATATAGTGTCTGCACCTGTGAGGGTTATATTCTTGCATATCAGATAAATGATATTCCTTTAATTTCTTAGTGTTCATCTCCCACCATGATGTTATTTCCTGAAATGTGCAACTTTTATCAATTGTTTTTATATTTTTTTATGGATGCACCAATATGATAATACGGGCCTTTGTTTGCTCATTAATTTACTACATATGTTTATGTATTTCCAGAGATGACAAAAACAATCATTAAACAGCCCATACTCCTGTACTTACTGCATAACTCTTCTTTCACAAACAAAAACTATAAAATCTAAAAAAAAAAAATAAAATAAAAAAAATTATATATATATATATATATATATATATATATATATATATATATATATATATATATATATATATATATATATATATATATATATATATATATATATATATATATGTATGTAGCTTGAGACGTTCCCATAAAAATTATAGATGCCTGTATGTATGTACCTACAATTCTATGAAGATCAGGGAACAAACAAAGAATTTTACTTTTTTCCTGTCCCTTCCTTTTTAATATCAGTGTGAAGTCTAAATGGCATGTCTTTTCCTGTAGGAGGGGCCTCTAGCCTCACCTGTCCTCCTCATATCAAACTATTTTTGGTTTTTCACTTCAGAGAGGATGTTTTCATAAAATATGCACTGCTTTATGTAAGAAAACTGAAATAGACATCGTGTCATGCAAGAATTGGCTTTGAACCGACCTGAAATACCTTCTGAATGTAATTTGACTTACAAATTATTTATCCACGACTCAAAAAGAGACCGGAGGTTGCCATGACAAGTTGTTACACAATGAATTTAGAGTGCTCTTACATAAATTTGACTGAAAAAACTGAATAAAACTGATGGGCAATTTTACTGTAGCATCTTGATTCACATCAAATTGATCCCCTCTGTTGAATTGTATTAGTGTTAAGTTGGCTCCTAGGCAAACTGAAGTGTTATGAGAGCTGAGGTAGTGTCCTCTCTGTTTTACAGCTCAACAAGACAGATGCAGGCGATACACCGGCAGGGATATGCTGTGAGGATGCAACACCCAGCCAGGCAGGCCGCGTTCTGCACCATCCTCCTCCCTGCTTTCCTCCAACACAAGCTAGTCTACAAATATCCAAAATAGTGCATTCTTATGTTTGCATAAGTGCAGCCTTTCTTTAGTGTGGGGACAAAGTAAATAGTAATGACATGATTGACCAAATATGTAAACATGCTGATAAGTATGTATCTATATTTATGTAAACTGATGCTCAAAGTATGTCACTGCTCTATCATTAATTTGTAGAAGTTTTACTTATAAAAAGTAATGAAAGTAGGTAATAAAAAGTTTGTTTTTTTTTTTACAGAAGAAGCATATTTTTAATAGTCCGATATTAATTCAATTGATTGATTAAATTCAAGTATCAGAATTATTTTGAACTGCTTAAAATTATTGTAAAATAAACTAATATTGTCCTTGTTTTAATTTGAAAAGCTCTAATAAATTCAGGGCAACTAGGCAAAAAATAATGCAGGGTAAGTAATGATAAATTAGTAAATTTGTTTCAGAAACATGTTTCTTTCAGCATGTGTCAGTGTGTAACTTAAAATAAAAGTTTCTTTGGGGACTAGTGGAAGGGTACACTTATATAATTGCACATATGGGAACTAATGGATAATTGATCACCTTTTTCATTTCACTTTCATCCGTGTAATGCCTGCTGATAAGGGGATTTGGATTTTTTTTCTTTTTTTTTCTATCGTTGGTGGGTTCTTCTCTGAATGATTTATGACATTGACTTAAGTGCGTTTGTGTCGTTGCCTCTAGTTTGGAAATGCATGTTTCTCCTGTAGACATCTCAACATTTTGTGTTAGACATGTTACGATTCTAGCGGGATTAAAAGATCTTAATTCCTTTTCTGTTACAATTGAATGTGTGAATTTAAATAAAATAATTTCTCTCAACTTTGTTTTTATTTGTGGCAGAAAATCACCAAACACTAAAGGACCCTCTACTCGGACAAGAAAAAAAATCACCTGTCACAGTACAAGTTAAGGTCGTAGCTAAATTTATCTATGTAAGGTAGATAAACAGATCTAAACACTAAAACACAGGCCCAACTCTATTGTCTATTACCAAAAGGTGTTGATGGGAGATGTCCTGCTGATATTTCTTTCCAGGATGATGTCACAGCCACACAGGAACAGACCAGATGAAACTACTATGACGAGAAAAATCAGAGAACCAGAACATAAAATTATGTGTTGAACTAACAAATACTGCAGAATTATAGAATAGAGCAGAATGATGAAAAGGGGTCCCTGTGTCTTCCAGCAGTCTAAGCCTATAGCAGCATAACAGATAGCAGCTCTAACTATAAGCTTTATCAAAAAAAAGGAATGTTTTAAGTCTAGTCTTAAAAGTACACAGGATGTCTGTCTCATGGACTAAAACTGGTGGTTGTTTCCATTGGTTCCACAGGAGAGGAGTTTGATAACTAAACCATAGGCTACCCCAGCCATAAAAACAGACAAAAAAACAAAAATAGTTTAACACTTTACTTATGTGTACTGGTGCATTTAAATAATTAGCAATACATTTTTTTTTATTTTAGTTATACAATTTATAGGTGGATCTTATACAGAGTGATGTACCTCTAAGTTGTATTTTTTGGTCATTTTAATTATTATGGCTCATCCATAAATTGACATTTAATATGGAATTGTCTGTACAGCATCTACATTTAATACTTGGTTGGGCCTCCTTTTGAATGGATGAGAGCATTGATATAAATTATGAGATTTGCATGGGGGCTGTCGAAGCAGACATCAACAGCCGTTTATACAATGTATAGCCCCACACCTCTTGAATGGGTTTTGCAGCATAATCCTCAGAAGGCTATGGTTATTACCTTTTCCTGTGCAAACTTTCTTCCACTTAACGAGAATATCTGATACAGCATTCTGTGAATAACTAGTTTCTTTAGCATTAAGGTCTTGCTCACCTTTTGGGGAGTGTTACAGGCATAAATCAGAAGTCACAACTATGATTGTGTAAGCATTGATAAAAGATTACTCTATTTGCTGTTGGTCCCAAACCCCCATTTTTGAATTTGGGGTTTTCACTGTGATATGCGTAAACAGAAAAAATGACTATACAAAGGCTAATGTTTTTTAACTTAATTAAAAAACATTTTTAAATGAACCCGAAGGTGTCCGACCAATACACAAAATTGTTTTAAAATCCGCCAGGGACCCCTGCTGGACATCAGTGATATTACAATAAATTCAAACAGAAAATAAACTCAGAAGTAGATCCAGTTCCAAATAGTCTTTTATTAAATGTTCATATTCCACAATGTATGCTACATTGTGGAAAGAAACTGCTAAACTCTTTCAACCTGACACATTCCTGTGCCTAAAGAAACAGAATGACATAAACAGTATAAGCATAAATGTCATAAGCATTTAATAAGACATTGAACATAAAAAAAAAAATAAATACGGAGCAGATCACAGCTCTGTAGTGTCGATCTCATTTTATATCCTACAAAACATATTAATTGGAAATAACAATGTTTATAATCCAGACTGAAAGCCATTCTTTGTCTCTCCAGAAACTGCTGAATCATGTGGTAAGGTTACAGGGATGCGTCACGTCTGCACAAAGATAAAACCCTCAACCCATTTTACATTTTCAAAATGAACCCCATTCCTCTAGACAGAGCAGAGTCTAATTTAATAAAAGTATGATTTTATCTTGTAATTTAAGAAAGAATACTTTTCATTTGTTACATAAAAGCAAACAAACACTCAACACAGGTAACATGACTCCAGTCTTGATGGATGACAATTGTTTAGTCCGGTCACAGACTGGCAAGGCCTCAGATGAAATACAACAGCTAAGGCAAATGCAGCAGTGCACACATTCCAGGAGACAACATAAAACTATCACTGCTGGGGTAAAACACCACATCAAGTCATATCCAATGGGTTCGAAGAAGGGAGTGCTTTTGAATTAGGTAATCATACATCTTAAAAGTACAAGCATTTGGTAAAACTGGCATTCAGGGAGGTATTTTTCAGAGGGATTGATTAGAAACGTACTCTTCAAATAATAAGCAATGAGCCTGCTGCCAAATGTCTTTTAATGTCCCGATAAATTAGTTGAGAAAGTTATTATCTACATCAATGAAAATGTTTTTTTTTGGAAGGTATTGTATTTTTTAATGACAAAATCTGATTCACTGACTCATGGGTTTCAACATTTTCCAACTTTTTTCTCAAGGCAACACACTTTTTTCCAGGTATTAAAGTAGCTCAGTGTGGGTTGCAGATCAGACAACCTTAGTTCAAAAGCAGGAAAACTACAGACTGCACCACACACTGTAGATAAAAGGCTTTTGTCTGTGTTTAGTTGCTTTAACTGCTGAGTGCAAGAACCTATAGTGAGAGGATATGTTATTAAATGCATCTTGTCACAGTGGGGAAACCTGTCGGGCTTGTTTGACTGCTCATGCTGAAGAGTCAACCAAGGCAGGGACCGTAAATGTTAGTCAAACATGAAACCACATGAAAAACAAATGAAATCTAGTTTTAAGTAATTTAATTGTTCAGGCTAGTTAAGACAGTGTGTATTTGAATGGAAACAAGTGGAAGGGGCTCAGTTTTCAGATGAATGTAATTCAGAATATATATAGGTTTAAATATTTGTTGCCATTTAAAATGGGGAAAAAAAATCATGTAGCATTCGCATCCAGAAAGAGAGAAGACATTTCCTAGCAGACGGTGTTGGTGGGTGAGCATCCACACCTTCAGTTAGTAGGTCGTACTTGCGTAAAGGAGGTAAGAATATATGTATATTTTCTTTTAAAATCTTTGTAAAATTGCTTTATAAGGATGAGGGGATGGAGGAGAACTACCCAAATCTGATTCAAAACCTTAACCATTTGCCCAATTTAATGTTCTGGCTTGTGTAAGTGATGACACAGGCCTGTGAGCGAAAAAAACAAAACAAAAAGAAAACAGATCAATTGTGTTACATTAGGTCTTCTTTTTCAGCTCCTCGAAACGTCGTGTCAAATCGTCAAAGTCGATGTCATCAGAGTTAGTGGTGTGTCCACCAATGGAGGAGGTGGGGAGTGTGTCTGGAACGGAGGGAAGTTCTGGTAGATTGTTGTGGTCATACGAGCGACGAGGTGCAGGAGAAGGACCTGAGGGGAACAGACAGTTCGTTGTCTTTTTGTCCAAACAGCCAAAATACAGAAGGGGCTGAGATTCTATAGAAACTGTAGGTAAGCAGAACTTTTCTACCAACACTGCACAAAAAATGCATGAAGAAACAAGGTACATCAAGAAAAAATATTAACAAATGTTTGTAAATAAAAAAAAAACATGATCTGGAGGGTGGATTTGTGAATGATAAAGCTCCAGATGAAACTTACCTACAGTCTGAGAGGGAACAGAGGGTTTTTCATTGAGGTCATCGATCTAAAACATTTAGAAAAATCTATTACAGATAAAATCATCATCATCATTCTACTATAGAAACTGTATTTGTTAGTGCTCACAAGACAGGAGTATAAAACAGACAAAAATGCATCTGTGCTGCATGGTTTGCAAAAGAAACCATCACCCTTTCAAGCAGATGTTAGAGGAGAGGCAGCTTTACTTCTGATTTAGAAATCAAATTGACTTAGGCCCATCAGAGCAATGCATCGTCTCGTGTTAGTTAAAGCAGATGCTATTTACAATAAAAAGGGGTTGTGGAAAACACATGCACAGTGACGGGTCAAAATAAGTTTATTTTTCATGGAAACAACTGAAAATCAAATCAGGTGCAGACTCAGTCTCAGTTAAAAGGGCTGAAGTCTGGCTTCCATCTTTAGAACACCCTAAAAAACATGATCCTTGCGCTTTAGTTGTTCTTCTTTTGTTCGATTTGTGTTTGGATGATACATTTTTTAACTAACCGGGACACTAGAATATCAAATCACGCAATCAAGCTTTACAGCTGCTTTAATAATATGGTTATACTTATTTTGACACCTGCTTTGCGAGTCATCTTTGCTGCATTTAGAGAAACAGGAGTAGAAAACATCCTACAGCATCAAACTTGTGACCAGTTGTTTGTGCACATCCTCAGCATGTTATCTGTATCAGATCTACTGATCAAAATATTTTTTCCATCAGATCGAACCAGGAAGGTGACGTAAAGCCGCCATTCTGTGTGCACCTACAGATTCTACATGTTATGGTAGACTTCCATCACTAGTCTGTGTCCTTTTAGTTGATCCAAAGGTGTAAATAAAATATGAGGATCACTAAACCAGGGTAACAGTATTTCTTAAAGTCAGTCTGATCTACTCTTTGCTTACTACATTTATACTTTAAGTTTAACTCTCTGAATTGGCAAAATTGTTTTATTTTTCTTAGACTTTTAAAAAATATATATAAATAACTATGTCCCTGATTAAAAATATTAACAATGATTAGGGCAGCATGTTCTCAGTCAAAAGCTGTGGCTTTAAAAAACAAAGGTCACAACCGAAATCAGCTCTAGACTTTTATTGGTAAATTAGTACAAAAAAAAATATCTCAATTTAATAGAAGTCCTAACAAATGGGTGTGTGCACGACCCATGTACGCACCCTGGTTTGAATTGGACCTGTGTTCTTTTGCCGCATGTCTCTCCCCCTCTCTCATACCCCCTTTACTTTCAGAAAAACGAGCCACTAGTGCCGTAAAAACTCAAAAAAAGAAGAAGAAAAAAGAGGTCGTAACAAATATAAAGATAAGGGAATTTTTGTTTTAAACGGACAGCGATCTTAATGCGAAGGGCGGCTGCAAAGTTATTTAGTAGATGCAATCCACTGGATTTTTCTATTTATTACATTTTACCTAATTCAATTCTATTACAAAACATACAAAGACTGGCCATGTTTTGTTGTGTAAAGTACTTTAGGATTACTTTAGCTGTAATTTTGCACTACATACGCCTAAAAAGTTGTATTACCCAAAATTGAGTCTGCACTCCAATCTCACTTCCAGCACATAGCTGTTAGTTAATTATATTTTCTGAACACTTAAAGAATACAAGGACTGTGCCCATGTCTAGTTAGATACGGACCTAACTACATTTATAAACATAGATGAAGCAGCCGAAATTAGGAAAAATATGCAAGTATGGAAGGCAGGCAAAACTGCAAACAAGCCAAATAAACCGTCCTTCCCTGAGAGCTTCTCTGCTCTGTCCGTCTGTCCATCTGAGGGGAAGGGGAGGGGCTGAGGGGTGGGGAGGCATTGAGGTGAAGGGTTCAGTCACTTACAGACTCGTAGGTGGGGGGAGAAGTAGGCAGCTGAGGGGGCTGCCCTCCTACCCCTGGGGGCGGGAAGCTGTTGTAGGTTCCAACTGAAGGGTTATAAGGTTCCTGAAGGAAAAAAAGTGAAAAACATTGGGTAATTATATTCCTTAAAATCGTACTCTTCATTACAGACAATGGATATGTTGCAATATATATCATATATAAAAAGTATATTATTAGTCCAACAAAGACAGTTTCTAAATATAAGATTTTGGTATAAATCAAAGGTTCAAAGCACAAAATACTTTTTTATGTTCAGCTAAGGGCAATAAGACACTGAATGTGTCTCATATTGGCTACTGTCAATGCTTATAACATTAATAATACACCTAATTTATAACAAACTATATTCATGCAAGTAAGCGGTTATTAAAAAGAAGACCTAGTCAATAAAACAATCGACATGTTAAAAAAGACACTTTACAAAGCAGGTAAAATAATAGTGCCTGAGTGCTAAACAAAAACAGAGAAGAAAAATGCTCTGTAAATTTAGATTTTATTACAACTGTCAGGTTTTAATAAAATTGTACTAACTAATTTAGTAATTTTTAGCATTTTTTTTCTAATTAAAACATTTAGTATGTGTTTATTAAATGTTTGCTATAACTGAACATCCAAACTAAAAAGGGTTAGGAAAAGAGGAAAAAAACCTAAAAGTATCCAACATCTGTGAGTTGTCTTTAGATAAAATGGTAAAAATGGATCCATATATTGATATCAGGTTAAAAATACCTCCAGTTAATATTTTCAGAGAATCTTCAATTTTACGTTAAAATAAATAGTAATAAATTCTAAAATTCAGAACTGGAAAATGGTTTAAAGCGAATTTCCTACTATTTAAGACATCGTAAAGCTGTTAAAAATCTATTAATTGCAGCAGAACTAGTTAAAAGAAAACTAGAAATTCCTTACGGCTCCTTTTGGAGGTGGGTAGTTAAACGCTGATGGCATGGGCATGGGCATTGGCATAGGCATGGGCATATGCATAGCTGTGGCAGGAGGAGCAGAGAAACCTCCTCCTCCACCTCCTCCTCCACCTCCATTCTTCCTGTCTGCATTCACATCAATGAGGTCTGCCTCTTCTCCGGGACACACTTCAGGCTAGCCAGAGACAGTGCAAGTAAATAATCAAATCTCTTCACTTCAGCCTTCATTTACAGTCAAAAAGAAAAATGTATAAAGGAAAGACAACAGCATACCCGGACCATGGCGTCAGGCTCATATGGCACATTATAGTTCTTGGCAATCTCTATCAGATAACGCTCCACTAAGATCTTGGGAGGGGCCTCCACACTCAGTTTGTGCATCAGCTGCAAACATATAAGATAGTTACTCAACACTCTTATTTAAACCTTTGACAAATAAAAAAAAATTATTATATATATATATATATATATATATTATATATATATATATATATATATATAGCCTACCCTGTCATTGACTGTGCCGATCTGGTTTGTCCTGCACAGCTTGCCATACTCCTTGCTGTATTTCGCACAGAGCTGTTCAGAAACCTGAAGAAAGCACAACTGATAAGACTGACTTGATATAAGTAAACAACTCACTGGGAAAATTGCAAGTCTTATTTCATATCAGACCTAGCCAGGTTTACACACACAAGGAATCTGAATTTTGTTCCACTGTGCTGTCAACATACAGCCATCCTAATGTGCATCATTGTATTTGTCGGAAAGTTAAGAGGCACTTACAATCTTCAGTTCGTTCACCTCTGACTGCAGGCGTGGTGCTGCCCAGATGAGCGTAGACACTGCCTCTTGCAAGCCCGGATCTAGTTCCCTGGCAGGCACAAAAAAAAAAAGAATTGAATGAGCATTGTGACAGGTTAATAAAGTCACCGTGGACTGTTTCAATACTCACTTCATGGACTGGATAAGTCCAAAACGAGTGAGCAACAAGTCACAGTAAAGCTCCAGGATCTCCATTGCTTCAACCAGGTAGTCCTCTCTGATGATGTGCTCAACACGAATCCGGGCCCGCTCATCTTTACCAGAGGACAGGTAATCTGCAATCTCCTTCCTTGCCTTTTGGGCAAGCTCAGCTTCATTTGAAATATGGAGAGATGGGTTAAGAGTGAACTGTCACAACATGCAAAAAGAAGAGGAAATTAATCCAGCTTATTTGACAAATTCAATCCACTCACATTTCTTCTTTTCTAGGAGTTTAAGTCTGTTTATGACCAGGCGGAGGTTAACTCTGAGCCTCTCTCCTTTGAATCCTCCTCCCAACATGACGACAATCTGAACAGAGGAGAATCAGGTGATCAGAAAACACGGAAACATCTGATGCAGTGACTCACCTCATCATGGGAGAAATGACTAAATGACCAATCACTTCAAGCCCCTAACTAATTTAAATATACATGTTAACACAGTGGAAATTACGAGCCGATATCAAGCTATAATTGTAACTATTCGCTATGGTTATGCTAAACTCAGTTAGCTTTAGCTTAACACAAGCTAACTAAAAACTTTGATACTTTCGGACTGACAGTATATTACATGTTTTATTTTCAAATCCATTTATTGTATCTCAGTATTACAGTGGTTTACCTTCAACTTAGACCTAATTGTTTACCAATTTCCAGTTATTACTTAGCTGCTCTGCGTTGGTTAGCTTCTAACTATTAGCCTTTAGTAAACGCCTTCAATATAAAGAAAACTGACTCCAACTCACGTACTTTAGATAAACTTCTTTTTTACACTAACCGACATTAAAAACGATTGAGAAAAGACTCACCTGGAAATCAGTACCCGTTGGTCAAGAAAACACACGCCACTTGTTTGGATTTGTTAGTTTCGTCGCCTGGTTCACTTCCGTAATGGTTAGGGTTTACGTCATGGGATTTTACCTTAGAGGCGGGGTCGCGATATGGCAGTCCGATTGGATATTTGATTACAATTCAATGTTGGATTTCTTTTTTCCAATATGCAGTCAGAACTGAAGAATATCGTCTCCGTGTTTACATCTCAAGTAGCCATTGTGCCAACTAATCCAGAAGTATATATATTTAAACATACATACATATACACACACACATATATATACATACACATATTTACACACAGCTTTGTTTTAATGACATATGGGGACATTTCATTGAGTTGCATTCATTTTATATGGCCTAACTCAGACCCTTACCCTATTACCAAGATGTACCTAATCCTAACCTAAACTGAATTCACGCCTTAGTCCTAAACCTAACCCCAACTCAAACAGAACTTTATAGGAACCAGTTGAATGTCCCCATATGTACCTGTAAGTCTTCGCATGTAGGATATTTTACAAAATACTTCCCTCACATTGTAGTTAAAGCAAGACCATATATATAGACACACACACACATATATATATCAATGATTGTGAAGCTTTACTAGCCATTTTTGATTTTTTTTACATGACAGACTGCTTTGATGTCAGTTTCATGCTGCAGACAATGGAGACAGTAAGATTGCATTATCTATTTTATAATAATGATCTCAATAAATCAAGGCTAAAAAAAAAAGTTAAGACTGAAAATTAACCTTTGCTGAGAGAATCTTATTAAACAGGCAGACCCACAACCCAAATCAAGGCTCCACTTATTCTTACTGCAGCACATTAATATAAGATATACATAAAAAAATAGAAATTGATTTTTTGATGAATAAACACAAAGACATTTGACCAATGTATACATTTTAATACAAGCAGAAAAAAAATTATACAGACTTTTAGGTTTGGTGTATTGCAACTGTTTAATAAAAATAAACTGTACAATAAAAAAAAGGGTCAACATAAAAAAAGACATCCGTCATTACAGCTTGAGTTTGCTGACAGAGACATCCTTTTTCTTCTTCTTCTTTGAAGACTGCTCCTTTGCACTTTTGATCTGACTTTTGACCTGGTCCTGTAGCTGAGAGAAGAAGGCTTGAGAGGACCGCAGAGCCTTGTCCTTTCCTTCATCCTGAAAGAAATAAAAGAAAGCATCAGCTAAGTTACTTCAGAAACACATAGAACTATTCAAGGGTAATTGTTTAGTTTGGAATCCAATAGGTGTGGTTCAACCTGTATGAAAGGAACATGAGTAAGCTGCCAGAACAAATGCTAAAAATAGACAGTCAAAAAAATGGTATGCAGGTAAAAAAAATGTGCTGATCAATGAATAACTTTTTTTTCAGTGGCTTCTGCTCTTAGTGGGTTTGATACAAAAGATTCCTTATTTACAAGCATGAGGAGTGCAAGTTATTGCAAAATAAAAAATAGAGCAATGTCTTTAGAAGATTTGTTCACATTAAGAAATAAATCTCAGAAAAGCTGATTCATGCAAAGTAGAATCAAGTAGAGTAACCAACCTTTAGTATTGTGGCTTTGCCTCCCTTTGTGAGTTTCTTTAGGTTTTCAGTGACTTCAGCCTTCGATGGCTTTTTGTTCTCCCCGGTTTTGCTGGCCTCTTTGAGCTTTAACCTCTTCTCCTTCTCCTTAATCTTCAGGTGCTTCACTTTCTTCTTGTGCCGTCTCTCACGCTTCTTGTCGGTTGATGTCTTCTCAGTATCGCCCAGTAAGTCTCCAGCCTTATTCTTCTCCTGTTGTGAACCAAAACAGTTATAAAATGTAACAACAAAAAATCTGGTGTGAAAATAAAGGTTTCTTAATGTATTGAAGATGGCAAACCTTGACTTCTTCTGGTGCAAGGAGAGTAGCATCACTAGTGCTGACTGGAGCCACCTCCTCCATAGTAATGGATGGGAGGTTAGATACCACCTTGACTTCTGGAACAGGCTGTTAGAGAAAACAAATATGGTTAGCATCATTAGCATCTACAATGTTCTGCTATTCATTAAAATATTTCTTTTTATTTAATTACATTTATTTCATATTGAAATAAATTATATTTTAGTTTAGATGGCATCTTTTTAAACAGACAAAAATAAAAACTCACTGGTTTTGGGGTGAAGTGGAAGTTGGAAAGGGCATCCAGCTTCAAGAAGAGGGTGTCCATTAGCGTTTGAATCTCTACATGAGATGGGTTCTCCTCCTGCTCTGTCTTATTCTGATAAATAAAAACAATGATACCATGGATGCTGTTTGTTTGTATGTGATAGAGCACAAATGTGAATAAGCTTAAGGTCAAACCTGAGTCTGTTTGATGTATTCTTGCTCATAGATTTCTGCTAGACTCTGCTTGCTCTTTTCATGGTCCAAAGTCAGTCGCTTTTTGTATTGAAAAACTTCCTCCTTAGGCTTTTCTTTACGCTCTACATCATCAAATGCCTGATATGAACACAAGATAAAGATAGAGTTTGATAAACAGGATAATAATAAAACTGAGAAGGTAGCCAAACGCTTCTTTGACTGACTTGGTCTTTGATTCTCTGTTTGATAATGTCTTCAAGCAGGAGGGTGGTCTCTTCAGTGATGGAAGGGGCTAAAAAAAGCAAAACAAAATACATTATATGGTTTATCTTAAAGGTTTGCAACTTAAACTGCTGTATATCGCATGTTGGTGACACAGTAACTGATTATAGTTCTACATATCCGAAAGCAGGTAAATGCTCACTCACCCATTCTTGATGCCTGATCAAACTCCACATCTTCCTCCAGCATACTGTTTTCTGGACGGGTCTGCGCCGTTACCTCTCCAGATAGCTGCCATGGTTTCTCTGCCAGAGCTGCGTTCTCCAGCTCTTGGATCTTTTGGGACATCTGCAAGGTAGAAGACCAGTAATCACCATTAGCAAATTACAGTGAACATTCTTTCACATATTCTTCTAAAAATATGACTTATGTTGAATCCATTCTTTTTTTTTTTATTACTTTTTTTTGAAAGTGCATTGAAACGAAATGTTCTGAATTGGCTCTGTATATTAAAACCAAATGGAAAACTCCTTTGAATTTAAATTAATTGTAAAGAGATGGGGTAACTTGTAGTGATCAAGCGTTTTCTGTCCAAGGAATGATTCAAAACGTGTTGTCATCACAGGATACAGAAACAGCAAAAAAAGAAAAAAAAAACGTAAAAATTGACATGGAAAACCTTCCGATTCAACAAGGGCAAAAACAATCGGATTAAGCATGATTAATCAAGTATCAAAATAATCACCAACTTAATCAGTAATCGATTAATTGTTAACTGGAGTATAGAGACAGTAAAACATGTCTTTAGCTGTCAGAGTTACCCACTTAGAGCAGTAATTATACCAAAATGGTAAAAATAAAAACAAAAAAAAGCTTTTGTCTGTCAATATGATCTATCCAGAACTCTTCAAATTGAACATTTTAGTTTCACCTGGTTTAATTCTGTCAAAAAAAAATCTTTGAGGAACCTTTTGTTATCCGAAGACCAATTAATCAATTAGCAAAGTAACCGTTAGTGGCAGCTCTAGACTCAACATGTCTATTCTACAGCTTTGATGTTGCCTTATTTCAAAAATCTAACCTATGGTACCAGAAATGGATGTCAAAATTAGTAATAAATCAAATCAGCATCTGAAGCTTCTAGGGGTGGAACGATTCACAAAATCCACGGTTCGGTTCGATTCACGGTTTTCGGTTCGATTCGATACATGTTGATTGTTACACCGAAATCCCATAAAAATTTATGAAATTAATGAAAAAATCCCCCCAAAAATAATCGATTGTAATTATTTTAAATGATCCGCAGAAACTCTGGATCATTTCCGTATGTTTTGCTGCTTTGAATTTAATCATCTCGCGCATGCTCTCTACCATCTCCAAGGTACTCAGAGGGGAGCAGACGAAGCCACAGTGGAGGCTGTAGGCTTTGCTTTGAGCAGCCGTTCTGGAGCGCAGCGGGGCGGAGCGGGGGTTGCTGACGGTGTATGACGGATTTCGGGGTTAGCATGACATGTTGCTGTTAGCATAAACAAAACGTGTTGCACAATGCTTGCACACTGTTGCACTTTTATCCACAACTTTCTTTCCGCCGTCATCGTAGGTCACTCTAAATGCAAAGCGCTCCCATACAGCAGCCCTATAAAGTGCTGCTGGCGTGTCTTCCAACTCCTGTTCTTTCCCACTCGCCAGTCCGACACAATTCTCCACAACAACTGATTTTTTTCTGCTACACCCGGCTACGCTGCTTCGCTTCTTCTTCTTCTTGTTTACTACTGGCGGTTGGCTTTGGTCGCAGCACTGCCACCTTCTGCTCTGGAGTGTAATCTCTTCCTCTATGAGAAAAAGGAACAGCGCATGAACCGAACGAAACACAGTCGAACCGAACCGAGACAGTCGAACCGAACGATTCTGATGGTTTTCATAAATCGTCCCATCCCTAGAAGCTTCGTTACCTTCTCCTGTCGCTTCTCATAAGATGACTTGACTTCTGACTTCTCAGAGTTCGTACTCTTTCCTCCAAGTATTTCTTCTATGTCCTCTCCCTCGCTGTCTTCTTCCTCCTCCTCGTCCTCTTCCACAGAAAGGTCAAAAGTCACCTTCTTTTGAGATGCTTTAGTTGAACCTCTATTCTCGTCTCTATCATAGAACACAGACATGCAGCCATCAATCTAAAGTGTTTCTGTGACATATGGTTAAAACATCAAATACCTCTGCTTTCACTTACTCAACATCAGCCTCATCTTCATCATCATAATCATCTTCTTCATCATCATCTTGGCTATCCGCCATCTCGTCATCCTCTCCATCAGACTGCTCATCAGTTTTAGCTGCTTCACTGTCCACCGCATCAAAGAAGTCAGTGTACTTGAGATCCCTGGAGCTCTTTGCCTGCCAAGAAAATCTGAATCAATACATTTTCCTCATCTGCATCACCGTGCCCTGATGTAGAGTGTGATGTACATACGGTGTTTTTCTTTTTCTTTTTGGAGGACATTATCTCTTCCAAGTCCAAATCATCATCATCCTCATCGGAAGGAAGGTCCTGAAAGTAGTTAATATCATCCTCTCCCTCTTCCTTTTCCTCCTGTTTGTCCATCTCATCGAGAAAGGACTCCATCTCTGACAGTTTGAAGAATTTATCATCGACCTCAGAGGGAACAACTTTCCCTTTGGGCCCAGTCCTCAGGCCTTGCTTCTTTTGCTTTTCTCGTTTCTCAAGAGCATCCATATCAAAATCTATATCAGAATCTTCATCATCAGAGTCTCTTTCTCTCTCTGCCAGCTTTTTGTTTTGTTGTTTAGAAGACTGTTTAGTGTCACTTTCTTCATCCGTCTCTCCTTCCTCCTTTCCATTCTCCTCTTCTTCGTCATGTTCCTCCTCTTCTTCTTCTTCATCATCATCATCTGACAGCAAAGTAAGTTTGTTAACTAAAGCCTCATCAATGGCATTTTTAAAATGCTTCATTACAGCATTGTTCTGCAGCTCCAGCTCCTGCCAAATCTGCTCCTCATCAAAGTTTTCCACAACCAACTGAGCTAGCGGGCTGCCCTTGTATCCTGCCGGCTCCTGAGATTTCTGGAGGTCATACAGGGTCTTGGTGAGGGAAGTAAATTTAGCTGCAGGTCCATCTTGAAGACTGTAAAAGTTTAAGCAAATGTAAAATCCGTTAGATCTAGAAACACTGTTAAAGTTATACATTTTAAATGGGTATATTTTACCTGAGCAAATCACATCAGTAAAACAGCAAGTTTGTGATCCCAAACACACACACAAAAAAAATAAATAAAACATTCAAAACTAAAGTTTAATTCTGAACTTTCATTTAAATTATTCCAAAACTTCTTGGCTCACAGACTTTTAGAATAAAACCAAGCAACTAAACAGGTGTTCATTATATACTGATGCACAACATCAAAGATGTATATCATTGCAATATCAGTTTGTGCACATTTAATGCAAAGAACTGATTAGAGTGCAACAACTGACAACTAATATTCCAAGAAGTATTATAAACTGGTGTTTTTCATGCGCCAGAAAGGTCTCAGGCAGTAAACCGTCACAGCAGACTTATGACTACAGAGTAAAATGTCATAGATTCAAGCACTTTGAATTCAGTAGCAGGGACATTGTTTTGACAGAAAATCACAACTGCATATTTTCCTCATATAATGTAATCTTAGCCAAGATAAAACTGTAAATAATGACATAATCATGCAAAGGCACAACCCAAACAAACAATCTGTCTATATATATATATATATATATATACATACACATACATACATACATACATACATACATACATACATACATACATACATACATACATACATACATACATACATACACTATATTGCCAAAAGTATTTGCTCACCCATCCAAATTATTGGAATCAGGTGTTCCAATCACTTCCATGGCCACAGGTGTATAAATTCAAGCACCTAGGCATGCAGACTGTTTTTACAAACATTTGTGAAAGAATGGGTCGCTCTCAGGAGCTCAGTGAATTCCAGCGTGGAACTGTGATAGGATGCCACCTGTGCAACAAATCCAGTCGTGAAATTTCCTCGCTCCTAAATATTCCACAGTCAACTGTCAGCTGTATTATAAGAAAATGGAAGTGTTTGGGAACGACAGCAACTCAGCCACGAAGTGGTAGGCCACGTAAACTGACGGAGCGGGGTCAGCGGATGCTGACGCGCATAGTGCGAAGAGGTCGCCAACTTTCTGCAGAGTCAATCACTACAGACCTCCAAACTTCATGTAGCTCAAGAACAGTGCGCAGAGAGCTTCATGGAATGGGTTTCCATGGGCGAGCAGCTGCATCCAAGCCATACATCACCAAGTGCAATGCAAAGCGTCGGATGCGGTGGTGTAAAGCACGCCGCCACTGGACTCTAGAGCAGTGGAGACGCGTTCTCTGGAGTGACGAATCGCGCTTCTCCATCTGGCAATCTGATGGACGGGTCTTGGTTTGGCGGTTGCCAGGAGAACGGTACTTGTCTGACTGCATTGTGCCAAGTGTAAAGTTTGGTGGAGGGGGGATTATGGTGTGGGGTTGTTTTTCAGGAGCTGGGCTTGGCCCCTTAGTTCCAGTGAAAGGAACTCTGAATGCTTCAGCATACCAAGACATTTTGGACAATTCCATGCTCCCAACTTTGTGGGAACAGTTTGGAGCTGGCCCCTTCCTCTTCCAACATGACTGTGCACCAGTGCACAAAGCAAGGTCCATAAAGACATGGATGACAGAGTCTGGTGTGGATGAACTTGACTGGCCTGCACAGAGTCCTGACCTCAACCCGATAGAACACCTTTGGGATGAATTAGAGCGGAGACTGAGAGCCAGGCCTTCTCGTCCAACATCAGTGTGCGACCTCACAAATGCGCTTCTGGAAGAATGGTCAAAAATTCCCATAAACACACTCCTAAACCTTGTGGACAGCCTTCCCAGAAGAGTTGAAGCTGTTCTAGCTGCAAAGGGTGGACCGACGTCATATTGAACCCTATGGATTAGGAACGGGATGTCACTTAAGCTCATATGTGAGTCAAGGCAGGTGAGCAAATACTTTTGGCAATATAGTGTACATACACACTCTTCAAATAGAATGTAAATAATTTATAGGAACACAAATTCCTCTATGCATACTATATTGCATACTAATATGCATGTTGCTTCGTGGAACCGAACTAATTTTGCTTCAATCGACTGTATTTTGCTCCCACGTTACGCATTTTTGTTGCAATACATCTACATTTTAACTCGATAATGCTACACTCAAGAGCATTTAGCTTTAGCCTTGCGTTAGCGGGGTAAACGTTTAATTTAAATAGCGGAACTTTATACAACGGCTCTTTCACCGGCACAAGGTACTTGCCTCAGAAAGTTTTCTGGCTGGGAAGTGTTGTCGTTTATTATCTGGAGACAGTCTTCCAGAGCTCTTCTCATTTCTATGTTAGCCATTTTCCCTCACATGTGTACCCCGTGAGAGTGTCACAGGTAAATATACTCTCTCTGAAACCCTTCCGTTGCTGCAGCGTTTTGGTTCCGCGGAACAAACATGGCGTCCGCTATGCTGAAGGTTGCAGGTTCGTGTTTACGCTGATTATTGTTAAACACCAAGAAGTGCACTGCTCTGTTATTGTTGCTACCTTAATGTAATTTATGGGGCTTTCCCTCCCACGTTTCTAGTGACAGTAAATTAACTTTATGATAGCTGGACAGAACTATAATCAGGTTCCATCAGTAGTTTGTCTAAAAGAAGGCATTTTCATAAGGTCGCTTCGGAAGCATTTTAATGAAGCAAACCAACATCAGCTTTTATTTGTTTTAATATGCAGAGCAACGCATTCACCTAATTTCAAACGTCAAATAATGCAAGAAAACTGAAATATATTTTTGACAAAAGCATACATTGTCTTTAGACCAAATATTTGTAAATATTTACAATTTTTGATAATTTGTAACTAATTAGCAAGCCTTCCTAAATTCTATTGGTCAACTACGGAAGAGGATTAGGGCCACTGAGAAAAATAAAAAAAAGTTAACTGACTTAAATTTTATTTCAGTATAATGTGAGAAAAAAGTCATAATTCTGACTTTAATTGCAAAATTCTGACTTAATCTCAGAATTCTGACTTTTCCTTCAGAATTCTGACTCTAATCTCAGAATACTGACTTTTTTAAATCAAAATCCTGACTTTAGTCTCAGAATTCGTACTTCTCTCTGAATTCTGACTTTTTTAAGAGAATTCTGACTTTAATCTCAGAATTTTTACCTTTTTATCAGAATTCTGACTTTAATCTCCGAATTCTGACTTTAATCTCCGAATTCTGACTTTAATCTCAGAATTCTGACTTTTTTTCTCAGAATTGTGACTTCTGAGTGCAGGGTATACCTTTTATAAGTACTTGACAAACTGATATTAATGCAAGCTTTTTTCCCCTTTAGTTTAGATCTAAAGATAATGGACTAGGTTTATAATTTTTTTCCATCTTCAGCAATGACTTCAATTTTACCTTAATTTATTAAAAGAAAATGACGAACCATTAATGGAGAAACTCAGTTTTAACTCATTTGATGAAAGCCAGTTTTTAAGTTTCTGCCAGCTCTCATCATCATTCTCTGTTTGTTCAGTGGCAGGCATTTCGAGATGTTCTCGTGTCACCCTCCTTAGAGCCTGTTCAACATCAACCCCCCTCCAAGGGGGTGTTCCTGGATCCCTGTGGAAGCTGGGGAAGCTGAACCACATAGCCATCGCCGTCCCCGACATGGAAAAGGCCACTGCTCTGTATCGAGATGTGCTGGGTGCTACCGTTAGCGAAAAGGTCCCCCTGCCAGAGCACGGCGTCTACACTGTGTTTGTGGAACTGGGAAACACCAAGCTGGAGCTGCTCCATCCTCTCGGGGAAAAGAGCCCCATCTCTGGGTTCCTACAGAAAAACAAGTCAGGAGGCATGCACCACATTTGTATTGAGGTAAAATCAAACTGATATTGATTTCAATAAACACACTTTTAGTTTGATCCATAAAGCTCATAACAAAGATTATAGTTATATTTCAAAGCAGGTGACTATTATTAGAACATTTTGGAAAGAAAAACTTGAATTATTCCTTTTATTAATGTCAACCAAGAAGACTTTTCCATAATTTTAAGCTGTTTTGATTGCTAATATCAGGACTTTCTCTTATTGAGTTATTTTTGGAAGTATTACTTTTTTTTTATTTCTTTATTTTAGATTTTAATTTCAAAAAGCTGCTTTTTTTAGGAAGCAGACATTTAAATCTTTCATGGTGCGTTCAGACCAAACGCAGTTTTTGGGTGGATTTTGGCGAACACCGTGGGGAGTTCACCGCCCTGTAATTCAAATGCTAAGTGTTTACACCCTGAATGCCGTCAGCAAATAGGATTTTCAGCTACGTGAAGCTGACAAAAAACTCAGCAAGCATGATCATTTGTTAAAATAAAACAAAAACAAAAAAGATTATGTTACTGTTGTTTCAGAGATATAATGTAAGATAAGATACAATAAGGATCATTTTTTAGGTCATCCAGAGGCCAACTATCTCCCATTAAGCTCTGAATTAAATGAAAATTATCTAGACCGCTTTTTCAGTGCTACTTGATTTGTGCAGGTAAAACTATTATGTGCTGCTTTGGTTTTTAAGATAGAACTATTTTTATTTATGGTCGACGATGTCGCCATCCCAGCAGACACGCTCTTTTCCTGATATAAAGTTACTGCATAACATCACATGTTATTCCTGTGCTGGCATTGAATATGTCGGCGGGCATTTTTATGTAGTGGCTGGAATGAATGTTTAATATTTAGTAAATCACCAGCCTCCAAGACCCTCTGTTTTTGACCTGCTGTTACCCTGACAATCCCATAGCATTTCCTGTCAAGGTATCGCTGTCTGTCCGCATTTGACAACAAAAGCACAGGTGAAACTTAACATCATGGACTGCTGCTAAATTGTGCCTTGTGAAAAACTTTTGAATCAACTTGGGGAGACCATACATTTTTTGAAAAGCTCAAAAAACACTGAAAACTTCCCTGTAAATCTACCCCCCTCAGAAAGCACTGATGCTGGGCATTGGACAGGGACAGACCGGGCTCTGTGCTGGAGGTAAGGGAGGATGATTAACAATCTTTCTACAACTAAATGAAAAAAAAATTTTTTTAAACCGACTAAAACCTCTTCAGAGCATTCCTTATTTTTTTCTCCGTATTCCATTTTAAGAGAAAAAAGCTTCACCTACAACCAGTTCCTGATTGGCTGCTGTGATGCGATTTTATAGAAAAGTTCAGCTCGTTTCAACTTCAGCAATCACCGCTCTGCTCTCTCCATGCGGTGCGGCTTTTTGACAACAACTTGGTTCTATCTATTCACACCATAAAAAAAGGGGGGCTGGGAACTCTCTCATCACGTGGAGTTCACCATTTGCCATTTCACTGTCCTTCCCTGTGCAGTCTGTATAGGAATTCTATCTGAATCCACCTGCAATCGCCGTGGATACCGCTTCTGGTCTGAACCACCAATAGGCATACAGAGACCTCTGAAGACAAAATATTCTTGTTTTGTTAAATCACATGAGAAAAAAACTAAGAACCCATTTTAGATTATAGAAGCTTATCACAACAGCCTGATGTTAAGACAAATGGTTTCCAAATCTCTAAAACTGCATCTCGAGGTCCTGTTAGGCCTTTGCTTATTTTTTTGTTTCTGGTTTCATAGAGAAGGACCCTTTATCTGTTAGCGATAGCTTTTAGGTCTTAGACCTCCTCCCTTTCCACTACATACCCTTTACCCTCATTTTGCTTTGTATCATCTGCACAATATGCTGTTTCAACCAGATGTGAAAAAGTAAAGTCAGAAAAAGCAACTTCCCTCAGTTTTATCAATTCAAGGCCCACAGCATCTGACATTCCTGTACAGATAGTTCAACATATTTTTCATTTTTTACTTGATAAAGATTTAGACTTGTCATGCTTTAAAAGTAGCTTCTTTCAAGCTCTCATAACTAATCAATCCAACTTGTATATTTTTAGGTGGCCTATAAATGTTTAAATACCCATTAAGAACCCTGGTCTATAGAGGGAGAACATGTAAAGTGCATATAGACAGGAGTGTAACCCAGAGCCCTCTTGCTGTAATGGTACAGTGCAGATAACTGCATTGCTGTTGGCTATACAGGCCAAACCTAGGGAATACATTCTATAACAAATACTCTCTGAGGTTTCCTTAAGAACAAACATTACACATGTTTGTGTTTTTCTTAATAAATGAAGATACAGGTCTAACTTATTTGCTTTACTTTGCTAATCAGGAGAATAAAAGTTAACATTGAAATGAATTTAATGTTACAATTCGTTATGATAAGTAGCATGTAAATATTTATAGCATTAGAGATTAGGTTGCTATTGTATGGAGCTTTGTGACTATTTGATATTCAGGAGCTGGAACCGAAGGTTAAAGAAAACCACCTCAAACAGCTTCACCTTTTTTATCTCAATACTTAAAACAATCTCTTAATAATAGTGAAGATAATTAGAAACCTTAATGTGAACGTACAATGTTACTGAAATCCGTGTTTGTTCACATTGTGTTTGCTCACTTAAATTTTACTTAAAAAAAAAATAAATAAACTGTGCATAAGTGAAGATGATTGACAGAGGCGATTCTGTACTCGCTCAGTTTATGGTACAGCAGGGTAAAGTTTACGATAAACCAACCGCAGATGAATGATTAACAGAGATTTGAATCCTATCTGCAGGTGGACGACATTAACGCCGCAGTGGCTGAGCTGAAGTCAAAGAACATCAGAACCCTGTCGGCGGAGCCAAGGATAGGCGCTCATGGGAAACCTGTCATGTTCCTTCATCCTAAAGACTGTGATGGTGTGCTGGTGGAGCTAGAAGAAGCATGAACATCTCTGCTTTAGATGAACTGTTAGAGGGTCTCTGGTTCATCTACATGTCCCTCAGTGACTCTGATAACACAGTGATAACAGTGTTGTTCTGTAAAGCACCTGTAGTTTCAGGAACTGTTTTCCACTCTTTTTTTTTTTCTAAGTCATTTAAAATGGTGGGGACTTTTGGCAGTTTCCATAAAGCTAATTCATACTAACAACTTAGTTACTCTTTTAATACTGTTTTTTTTTTTTTTTTCTAAAAGAAAACAACGATCTAAAGTTTGCAGCCAATAGTACCTGGCAAAACAGAAAACACCCACACGTTTAACATCTTGGTGTAATTCAGAGAGCTGCACCACTTCATCTGGCAAACATATGCTTCCACTGATTTATCTGAGTGGTAGCATCCAACAATCCTATACGGCCATTATAGAATATTTTTCAACTGAAAATGGTTAAAATTAAAACCAGCACCGCTCAGAATTTTGACCACCCTGAAAACCTTGTTTCAGTTTCTACTATATTGCTTTGGTATAATACATTTTTTGACACCTATTTTGTATGTAGCTGTAAACTGGGTAAAAAAAAAAAATCTTTTATTTTATCTTTAATTTATTTCACAAGTTTGAAGGACACAAACAAACTTCTTTAACCCCTCCAAATAATCTATCTAGCTTAGATACTCTGCAAAGGTTCTGCAGGATATATATATACCGGTATATATATTGCCTGGTTATATGCATCGATAACCAGGCAAGAAGGTTGGATTTGTGGCTGGTGACCCTTTTCAATGTTGATTTGGCTGAATGTTTAAATCAGTATACATTATACATATGGTATTTGCATCCTCCTGAGTAGAGAGACAGGCCCACAGCATCACTGATCCTCCTCCATACCTAACAGAGTTTAATAAGTCCTGTTTTACCTCAAACACACCTGAAATGTATGTTAATTTATTCTTGTCTCATCTAGCTAAAAGTCGAGTGTAATTTATGATGAATGGGCAACAAAGGGCAGTCTAGCCTGTAATTTTCTAATACCCTGTTTCTTTTGTCTTTGTAATCCTTCTCACTTGGCAAGATAAATATAGGTTACCACCCAAAACAGTGTCTAGATAAAATGGCCTTCTGTTTCACATTATTTTATCCAAAGCAAAATAATTAAATACCAACCAAATGTCACAAATAATCAATGAATGTTTAAACAAGAAATTCAAAATCAAACAAGACCCAAGATTTTAGCCTGACCTTGAAAACATAATAATGTAAGGATATGAAGAGAACCTTACGTATAACATATTTCTTATACAAGTCAAGAAGAAGGGAGTGTCTAGTTAAGAAGCACCGTTTGGCAACACGGAGAGTTTCTTTTGTCAGTGGTACTTGTGGATTCAAATGGTTTTATCCTAACCTATACAGGCCTGGAAGACCAGTATTTGCATTGTGTGAGTGAAGTAAAAAAAACGAAGCATTTATTAAGTTGCCATTTAAATCATTGAATTTGGTAAAAATGTAATTTAGGCCAATATATTTTTTGGTGTTTATTAACATGATCATGAAGTGTCACTATGATTTTAAACCATTTTCTGTATAAATCCCTTTGTACTAGTTTTAATCTAAATACTTTCAGAATCTGAGATTGTAGGGGAGGGACTCTGCTCAGCTGACAGTGACAATGTGTCACTAAAACCTCCCTCACAGGATTCAACAGGGTGTTTGTTTTTGTAAAGCATACCTATAAATGAGTGTCATGATTGATAAAATATAGGTTTGTAATTGGTGTGAATTTTTAAATCAGTTTCACAAACTTTATTCCACCAGAGAAACCCCTTTCTTCTATTGATATATTTGTTCCCAGTTTCTATGCAATAGGTTTTTATTACAATTTTGTTGAATCACCAATGGAGAAAGCAGCTTAGGTTTCTGGAGGGGAAAACAACAGATCAGATTGCAAAACACTAGTCTGGTGACACATGCTACAGCTGAGACATTTCCTGCAAAATGTTTCTTTGGATGACTTGGAAGTTCCCCGATGACCTAACCTTTACATAACAGCGGGATAAATGTTTAGAGTCAGCTTCCACCCCCTCCCCCCCCCCCCCCAAAAAAGGGAACATGTTCATTATAAGGTTTTTTTCAATAGAAAACAATGTCATAAAGACATTTGTTTCACGTGGAACACATTTGAACTTCTTTAGACTTTGAACGAGTAGTTAAAGGCTAAGTTTTACCTTCAAACCACATGATTACACACCAAGAGTCGTGTTACAGGCTAAACACTAGTGTCCAAAAAGAATTCAAAAAGGAAACCATTTTGAACAGAAATGTGAAGATAACAGCAGCCACATGTGTTTATACAGACAATCCTAGTCCTGGTTTCTTAAAGTTTTAAAAATGTTTCTTGGAAACACTGAAGGTTGCAGGATACAAGACGAATGCATTTAATTGAGCAGCATTTTTGTTGCCCATAATGGTAGAAATCTGGGTTGCGAAAAATTTATAGAAGTGTGAATATAAAAAGGAAATAAAAAACCTAAACCCCAAGCAAAATTGTTTATAATCTGAGATTTACAGGTAAATAGCATGGATTTATTGCCTTTGTATAATTAACTTATATTTATAGCAGATCAGCTCACTTAATTCTTCTACAATAAATTGAATGTATAGTGCAGAATTAGACTGCACCTCATAGCCCTTCCAACATCCAGTAATGAACCTAATAATCAATGGGACTGATATTTTAGAAACTTAATGATAGGCATTTTCAGTTTGGATTAGCTTTAACTACAAGTCATGTGTTAAAGGGGATATTTTGAAGCAATTACCAGAACTAGACCATAGCACTTAAGACCATTGTCAAATGGTTATTAGTCTCGCTGCAGGTTGATCATTAGAGCTGAAGTCTGTACTTGAGATTTGAAGTGAGAAAGTAAACAGCAATTATGCAGCAACACTTTGAGTCCTTAGACCGATGACGAATTGGTCTAAACTTCAGACTGAGATTATATTTTATTTTCAAACAAATTCAGTAACATGATCCTCTATTTTTAGACCGCTATGAAAACATAAAATAAACCCCTGCCCCCATATGAAAGGTTTATAGATTAGTATATTTAAGTGTAAATCAAACCCTTAACTCGTGACAGTGAATAAAATAAACCAGACAAGTGAAAATCCAGAGGGTTGGATTTATTTGATCTCACTTTGTTTAAAACAAGACAGCAAACATGCAGCGACTACATCTACAAATCCAAAAGGTGTTTCAAATAACTGTTGAGCTACAATGTGAATATAATGGCCAATTTCAAGCAGCAGTTGTTATAAAACTTAAGCAAGATATAAATGTCCATAGATGGGAGCCTTTGCAACGTTCTGGACGGATTTAGCTGCTTTCTTTGCCCAGAGTGTGTTTGTCAAACAGGTACTCTGCCATGCCGTTCTGAGGAGCTCCCATGCGGCGCAGGTTGCTCACCCAGTCTCCCAATTCTTTGATGGACTTCACCTGCTCATCAAGGTAATGAGTCTCGATGAAATCGCACAGCTGAAAGACAATTAGACAGAACATTAAGTTTTTAAAATATTCAAACTTTCTGTTAGATGAGGGAGGCATCCAAATTTTATTTAGTGTTGAAAAACTCACATGTGGGTCATTGTGAGTGGAGCAGAGCTTGTGCAAGTCCAGCAGTGACTGGTTCACACTCTTCTCCAGCTGGAGGGCACATTCAAGAGCTTCGACTCCGCTACCCCACTCGTCCCTGTCGGGCTTCTGTAAAACAATGCAGTGTGACGGTCATAAACACGGGAGACCTTCTCGAAGAGCTCAAGACGAGTCAGTCTCCTCAAACTCTGCAGTTCAACGTTTTACTTGGGTTTGCTTTGAGTGGCCAGACAAGATAAGCTTCTCCCACCCTTATTTATCTTTTACCACTCCTCAAATGACATTTTACAAACACGTTATCTAACGTCCTTAAAAAGACCAGAATTTGTCCCCCCCCCACTGCTTTATACCTTGATGTCCTGCAGGAAGATCCTTCCTCCCCTCTGGTTCTGCAGTTTCATTAGCTTTTCAGCATGCTCACGCTCCTCGTGGGACTGATCACGGAAGAACTTGGCAAAGTTGTGCAATGCCTGATCATCCCGGTCAAAGTAGTAACCCTTTAAATATAAAAGAAAATACAAATTAACACATTTCTTGTTTCAATATTTAGAATTAAGTCTTCCAAGACATAATTAATCCAGACAATGGCAAATGAAAACGTTTGCGTCAAATTGATCAAAATCTTACCATGGTTGGCAAAAAACACACCTTAGAACACAATCTCAAACCTTTAACCTTTGGTTTAAAAGATAAAGTCACATAATTCTTAAATTCTGGTCTATTGCATATTTAAATCTATCAAACTTTTTTGTCTAACATTTGCACTAAAACATCTCAACAAAGGAGGATTTTTTTTTTCCTTTCAACTGGAAACAATGCTGGTTTACAGTTCCTCTTTCAGGTAATTGTTCCCCATATGTTAAAGCACCTGTTCCACAAACTTTCCCCACAAAGCAGATGCTTTTTATTTCCTCAGTTCATCTGGTAGACTCTCACCATAGACAGGTAGACATAGGAGGCGTACAGCTCCAGGTTGATCTGCCTGTTGATGGCAGCCTCGCAGTCCTGGTGGTAGTTTTGCCTCACCTGGGAAGTCATGGTTCTGAGAAAAAAAAAAAAAAAGTTTAATTTACAATCAACTCAACATATTTGTAGGAATTAGGGCGTTTAAAATAAAAATTAAATGCAGTTATATTTGTTAATAATTTGTGAAAAAAAATTAAAAGTGATGACTAAGAATAAATCTCCCTTAATAGGGAGAAACAGAAAAAAAAATAAAACAACAAGCCAGGCTCTTGTGCGCCATAAACTGCTGTGGGCGTCGTAAAACCGCTACTGCGCCAAATGCCACATGAGCAGCGCCAATGTGGAAAAAAAAATAAAAGTGGATATATTTGCTTTCTGGAAAACAAACCAACATTAACAATAAAGTCAACAAGGATTAAAATCAAATGGCTAATCTACCCTTACCGTACTGCGGTGGTGTCCTTCGGTTGGTTGCGTTGTTAGCAAAACAATTAGCTCTAAGCAAAGCGTGCTGGATAACTTCGCAGTTTCTCGATGGAAAGCTGAAAATATGCTATTTTTTAAATAAATGACTTTTTAGACAGTTGTAAGGTTGCCGTTCAAGCACTGTTGAAGCAGGTAACCTTCACTGTCTGCTAACGATGATCGACTGTAAGCGTACGTGATGAGCGTCAGTAAATAAAGCTGGAACGTCCCGGAGGGGCGGAGCTTTTCTGTTAGTGACGTATTTTTTGTTGTTTTTTTTTTACTTATGAAAACAAAAATAGCGCAAAAATGGTATCTTTGACACACACCTTTGGAAAAAGTATAATTATTACAATATTAATGTTTGATTAAAAATGTATTTTCACAAGTTTAAACATAAAATTATATATTTATATATTTTGAGAAAAAAAATACTCTGAATGGCGTCAAAAGTTCCTTAAAGTTTTTTTTTTAGTTTAGCTTAATTCTTTCTTTTAGATCCTTGATCTCTGCTGTCTTTATTTTATTTTTGTTGAATAATCTAATGACACATTTCTGACGACTCAACACGTGAGACTGCTCAGATGATGTAAGGTTAGGTTTGTGTAACAATGGCGTTTACTCATTTAAACAATCATGGATTTGAAGAGTTTCGTTTAATCACGAAATATATATATATATTTTTTTTACTTATTTGGTTAATAATAAATGTATGTCCAAATACAACAGGGGAATTACAGCTGATTGACAAATGGAAAAATGTCCTTTGTAAAGACAGAATACAAATTAAATGTTAAAGTTCACAGGTCTGCATACAAAGCAAAGTCTAGATTTAGGCTTATATGTGAGGTCTAACTTAATTCAATTGTTTCTTTTTGTACTGAAATTACTCAAGAGGGCCGTTTGACTTCAAAAGCAGTGAAGCTCCTACCACAGGCCTGACCTTAGAGTAGCATGTCCACGCACCCATAGATAAGGTTACCTGGGTCAGATCTAGTAGAAATATTTCAACAATATTTCCATAAATTTCATAATTCCAGATGTTTTTTCATTAAGTTGTGAAAGGTCCACTATGGTTCATCATACAACTTTGCTTTTGCAATTTCAGCAGCATAAACCAATGGTAATGATTGTTCTAGAACCAAATGTGGCATATTTTATTTCAACACTCACTTATTGGCATGCTTTGAAGAGCGAACAGTTTTTAAACTACAATTTTGCCTTCTGGTAAGAATATATATATAAAAAATCTTTATCTTAATGAAGTAGGTTTTATTCAACAGAAATTGGAAGTGTCCAAAACATGCCACCTACTGTCAACCAAGTATTCCTGTATGCTTTAGTATACAGGTCCTTCTCAAAAATTAGCATATTGTAATAATGTTCATTATTTTCCATAATGTAATGATAAAACTTGAACATTCATATATTTTAGATTCATTGCACACTAACCGAAATATTTGAGGTCTTTTATTGCCTTAATACGGATGATTTTGGCATACAGCTCATGAAAACCCAAAATTTCTATCTCACTAAACGAGCTATGCACCTAATCATCTGAATCAACAAATTAACTCTAAACACCTGCAAAAGATTCCTGAGGCCTTTAAAAATCCCAGCCTGGTTCATCACTCAAAACCCCAATCATGGGTAAGAAAGCCGACCTGACTGCTGTCCAGAAGGCCATCATTGACACCCTGAAGCAAAAGGGTGTGATACAGAAAGATATTTCTGAACGAATAGGCTGTTCCCAGAGTGCTGTATCAAGGCACCTCAGTGGGAAGGAAAAAGAGGTGACCAGACCCAGAGGAAGATTGTGGAGAAGGGAATGCCAAAATGCCAGAAGTCCAGTGTCAAGTACCCACAGTCAGTGACGGTCTGGGGTGCCATGTCAGCTGCTGGTGTTGGTCCACTGTGTTTTATCAAGGGCAGGGTCAATGCAGCTAGCTATCAGATTTTGGAGCACTTCCATCTGCTGAAAAGCTTTATGGAGATGAAGAATTCATTTTTCAGCACGACCTGACACCTGCTCAGTGTCAAAACCACTGGTTTACTGACCATGGTATCACTGTGCTCATTGGCCTGCCAACTCTCCTGACCTGAACCCCATAGACAATCTGTGGGATATTGTGAAGAGACAGTTGAGAGATGCAAGACCCAACACTGTAGATGATCTAAAGGCCGCTATCGAAGCATCCTGGGCCTCCATAACACCTCAGCAGTGCCACAGGCTGACTGCTTCCACGCCACGCCACATTGAAGCAGTCATTTCTGCAAAAGGATTCCCGACCAAGTATTGAGTTCATAACTGTACATAGTTATTTGAAGTTTGACTTTTTTGTATTAAGAACAATTTTCTTTCATTGGTCGGATGAAATATGCTAATTTCATGAGATAGGAATTTTGGGTTTTCATGAGCTGGATGCCAAAATCATTTGTATTAAGACAAAAGACCTGAAATATTTCAGTTAGTGTGCAATGAATCTGAAATACACTATATTGCCAAAAGTATTTGCTCACCTGCCTTGACTCACATATGAGCTTAAGTGACATCCCGTTCCTAATCCATAGGGTTCAATATGACGTCGGTCCACCCTTTGCAGCTAGAACAGCTTCAACTCTTCTGGGAAGGCTGTCCACAAGGTTTAGGAGTGTGTTTATGGGAATTTTTGACCATTCTTCCAGAAGCGCATTTGTGAGGTCGCACACTGATGTTGGACGAGAAGGCCTGGCTCTCAGTCTCCGCTCTAATTCATCCCAAAGGTGTTCTATCGGGTTGAGGTCAGGACTCTGTGCAGGCCAGTCAAGTTCATCCACACCAGACTCTGTCATCCATGTCTTTATGGACCTTGCTTTGTGCACTGGTGCACAGTCATGTTGGAAGAGGAAGGGGCCAGCTCCAAACTGTTCCCACAAAGTTGGGAGCATGGAATTGTCCAAAATGTCTTGGTATGCTGAAGCATTCAGAGTTCCTTTCACTGGAACTAAGGGGCCAAGCCCAGCTCCTGAAAAACAACCCCACACCATAATCCCCCCTCCACCAAACTTTACACTTGGCACAATGCAGTCAGACAAGTACCGTTCTCCTGGCAACCGCCAAACCCAGACCCGTCCATCAGATTGCCAGATGGAGAAGCGCGATTCGTCACTCCAGAGAACGCGTCTCCACTGCTCTAGAGTCCAGTGGCGGCGTGCTTTACACCACCGCATCCGACGCTTTGCATTGCACTTGGTGATGTATGGCTTGGATGCAGCTGCTCGACCATGGAAACCCATTCCATGAAGCTCTCTGCGCACTGTTCTTGAGCTAATCTGAAGGCCACATGAAGTTTGGAGGTCTGTAGTGATTGACTCTGCAGAAAGTTGGCGACCTCTTCGCACTATGCGCGTCAGCATCCGCTGACCCCGCTCCGTCAGTTTACGTGGCCTACCACTTCGTGGCTGAGTTGCTGTCGTTCCCAAACACTTCCATTTTCTTATAATACAGCTGACAGTTGACTGTGGAATATTTAGGAGCGAGGAAATTTCACGACTGGATTTGTTGCACAGGTGGCATCCTATCACAGTTCCACGCTGGAATTCACTGAGCTCCTGAGAGCGACCCATTCTTTCACAAATGTTTGTAAAAACAGTCTGCATGCCTAGGTGCTTGAATTTATACACCTGTGGCCATGGAAGTGATTGGAACACCTGATTCCAATAATTTGGATGGGTGAGCAAATACTTTTGGCAATATAGTGTATATTAATGTTCAAGTTTTATCATTATATTATGGAAAATAATGAACTTAATCACAACATGCTAATATCTTGAGACCTGTAGATCAGTTAACACTTTGCTGTTAGCCATTTTATCAGTTGCTTAAATTCCAGTTGCAACTATAGCATTACATTTTAATTTAGTTAACCAATGGAATACAATTAGATTTCTAAGAAAATTTCACCAAAGAGACAGGAAATATGTTTAGTTTTTACAGCTTTTATTTATGACTTAAAACTTTAGTCAAAGAGGCCAAATCCCATGTCGTCATCAGACTCCTCAGACTCTTCTTTCTTCTCTTCCTTCTTCTCTTCGGCAGCTGCAAAACAAAAAAAAAAGAATGTTTAAAGACACACCAAACTGTTTTTCTATAGGTTATCAAAATACAACAAAAATAAACATGACTTCAATTTTCCAAATAACACCAACCCCGTAAATTTGATAATCTTCCAAAGTTAATAAATATATCAAACTAATTTGGGACCATGCATTTCTTATATTTAATACTGCTTTTGTGCCAAGTCTAAACAGAATGAACCAAAAAGGCAAGAAGGTAAAATGCTCACCTGCAGGAGCTGCTGCTCCACCTGAGCCAGCAGCTGCAGAGCTGGCAACAGCTACAGCGCCACCTGATGGCACGCTGGCCAGCTTGCTATAACCTAAACAAAGAAATGTAGAGAAACAAAGGATATGTTAACCATAAGACAGCAAAACAACAGAACACGTCTTTCACAGGGCATTATCCAGCATTTCCATAGATGATAGATTGTTGGTTGTTTCTGAGACCTATTTAATGTAAAATTATTAGGTTAACAAAAGACTAAACAGTATTAAAAATGTAAGGGTATTTCATTCAATGTATGTAATTTAATAAATTGCTGTTAAGAAAAAATCGATCATGTTATTTAAGACACTGTACAACTGGACCGTTCTTTACTTAAACCTTGACATTTCAAAATTATCTAAACAGAAATCATTCATAAAACAGGTAAATAAAATCCTATTAACATGTCTATTGGTTATTGTCATCAACTTACTCTTATTGGTACCTATTAGGGCAGCCACTAATAATTATTTTGTAAATTGATTCATCTGTTGAATAATTTTTTTAATTAATAAATGACTAATTGGATTGCCAAAGGTTCCTTACAGATTTTTTTTACGAAATTAAACCAGGTGAAACTTAAACTTTTCCACTTGAGTTTTGGATAGAGCATAATGACAGATTAAAACTTTTTTTTTCTTTTTTTATATTAAACGCAAAATGTTTTAGTTTTTTTAAACAATTTGATATAATTACTGCTCTGAGATGGTCGCTCTGTCAGCTAAAGGCATGATCTACAGTCTCTATACTCCATTTAACGATTGCTTATTAAATTAGTTCTTATACCACTGATCAGAACAAGTTACAGCCACATTTTAACTACAGTAAGAAAAATTAAAACCCAGTCAAATAATATTTGCATAAAACTTCCAAACACCACATTTTAAACAAAAATGTTTTAAAGTAAAACATGTACCAGTGGCAATCACGTCATTGACATTCTTCCCTTTGAGTTCTGAGACGACCTATTAGAAACAGAAAACAACAATTACTGAAGCTGTGTCCAGCTGCTGGGGAAACCAAAGAGATGTTGCCAAGGGGAAAGAGAAGTACCTTGTTCAGACGGGTGTCATCAGCCTCAATGCCAACACTCTCCAAGATCTTCTTGATGTCACTGGCTTCTGGGTTTTCATTGCCTCCCAGGGCAGAGAGCAGGTAAGCAGCGACGTAACGCATCCTAAAACACAAGCTTTAATTTAGATATTGATCTATATTTTCATGATTTTTTTCCCCCCCTCATCTCAACACATTTTCCAGAGAACGAAACCTCTTGAGGGAAGAAGGACTGCAGTAAAGTTATTAACATATTCACAGATTTGGCTTTTCCGAATAACTCATTGGCGGATGATTTATTCTACCAAACAGACGGACAGTCTGCAAGTTGCAACACCATAAAAATAATCTGAGAGAAATATTCAAAAGCGTCACCAAGGAGAGGTGGATTACCACCAAATTAATTTCATGTGTATCTCATGTCTTTCATACTAAATAATTGCTGGATTCAAAAATAATATTTATTTTGAAGAATTTCCCAAAGCCCTAATGACAAATGGCACCTCTATTTTATTATTAGAATAAGTATAAAATGAGCAACGACTACACTATAGATCACTGTAGTGCCTCCAAACTTGTAGCACGCATAGATAGCCTCATCTAGTTCAGACAACTCTTACTTTGGGAAAATTTGCTAAACTATTTTTTTTAGATTTTTTCATTGTTATTACAAGCATATCATTTCTTACACACCCTCCCGTTCCCTCAGGTCAGCTGATCAGTTGCTTCTGAGGGTCACAAAGACAAAATGCAAGCTCAGAGGAGACCGTGCTTTTTCTGTGGCAGCTCCTAAGCTATGGAATGATCTGCCTTTGAGCATAAGACAGGCCTCTTCTCTTGCTATTTTTAAGTCCCTTCTTAAGACTCATCTTTTTTCCTTGGCTTGTGGGACAATTTGAGAGGTTTTACTTTATTTTATTCTGTTTGTATACTAATACGTATTTTATACCCATCTTTTCTATTTTATACTTGCATTGTATTTTATGATTGTGTACAGCCCTTAAGTCCTGTCCAGTGTATAAAGTGCTTCATAAAAGATGTTGGTACGGTATGATATGGTGTATATAATTATCAATAACTACACTGAACTTTAGCCCCACCAAAATCACTGTATACATCAGTCACATCCTCCTGGTGATACTATAACTGTTATTATATCAATTATATACTTTTTTATATTTTGGGGGAATTTTTATTTGAATAAATTATCAATAACTACACTATTATGAACTTTAGTCTCATTAAAATCACTGTATACATCACTCACCCTGCTGGTAAAACTATAACTGTTCAAAACAATGGAACATACTTACTTTCTTTATTATTAAAGAACCAAATGATATATCTTTCTCAGTGAATTGTCATTAACAAGTTGTGCAACTAAAGATATTTGACGTTTTGTAGGATGCATACATCAAATGGACCAGCAAAGCCATTTTTCATTTATTCAACGTTAAACAAAAACACACTGCCTTGCTGTGGTTGTGGAGAGGAGTCTGTTTAGTAGAATAAATCATTAACAAATAAATCACTTTACTGCAGTGAAAGCTCGAGAAAGAACTAAAGGAAGTCGGCGGGGAGAACAGAGTCTAACTTAAGTTTAAAAACCCTCATTATCGGTTACCCATCAAAACAAATATATTAATACCTACAATTCAACAAATAGTGACTTAACTCTCATTTTTAACGGGCTTTTCAGACTGGGTGACTTTGAGATCTGTCAACATGAGCAGTTATCCGCTTTATATCGATATATGGTAGAACAGGCCAATCTGTAAAAACTTGTGTAAGGAAAATCTGGAAAATAGTGTCTTAAATAAAACTTTCATTTTTACAACCATGCCATCCCCTTTCGCTGCTATAAGCTAACTGAGCAATAGATAAGCTCACAGTAAAATACAGAAAATAAGGTGAAAATAGCCATCAAAACTGCCCCGAATCTGCTGGTGCTGGAAGATTCTCTGTTTATTTAGATACCGGGAATGTTTAATTAAAGAATAAGGCAGGTTTTGGTTTAAAATCGATCCACTTACTTGAGCTAAGAAGGATAACGCGTGTTCACTACGCGGCAGGCACACACAGAAAGGAAGTTACGTCATTGGAAAAATGCGGAAAAAGCTTTCTTCTTCTTCTTCTTCTATTGAGTTTTCTGGCAGTTTGCATCCTGTGTGCATTACCGCCATCAACTGGACGGAGATGTAATTCAGAAATATAATGTCTGTATATCTTTATATCTTCATGAAACTAAATTCTATCTATACTTACACACACGCACATACACACACTAAATTCTCCCAGCTAATTCTGTATCTTTTAAATATTTAATAAGTGCTTTAATTATCTTATCTGATTGATGCTTCCCTAATAAATCTGCCATCTTTACTGAACTCCCCATTACCCTTTCCAGTTCTTTCCTCTCTTTTGTATATTTGCTACAATAGATCAACACATGTTCTACTCCTTCGATTTCTCCGCAATAACAACAATTACCCGTTGGATGTTTCCCTATTATTTTTAGACCTGCATTTAAACTAGTATGCCCAATCCTTAACCTGTTTATCCATATTTCCTCTCTTCTACTCATTATACTGTTATATCCTATGCTAATATCTTTATGTATTTTATATAAATGTCTTCCTTTTTTTTCTAAATTCCATCTCTTCTGCCATACCTTATTTATTTTATCTTTAATAATTACTTTTATTTCTGTTCTACTTAGCGGGACATCATATTCAATTTCTCCTACTTTAACTGCTTCTTTAGCTAACTTATCTACTTTTTCATTACCTAAGATTCCTTTGTGTGCTGGAACCCATGTGAATTGAATACTTATATTTTGTTGCCTTATACCATACATTAAATAACTGACTTCATCTAAAAGATCTTGACGGCTTTCAGATTTTCCACTTTTAAAACTAGTCAGGCAAGACATTGAATCTGAACAGATAACTACATTTCTAGGCTTCACCTCCAGCACCCATTGCAATGCTAAAATAATTGCCAACATCTCTGCTGAAAAAATTGATAAATTATCTGTTGTTCTTCTCTTGATAGAAATATTTTCTTTTGGAATATATACTGCTACTCCTGTTTTACCATTTTCCTCTTTTGATGCATCTGTATATATTTGTGTCATATTTTCATACCTTACTTCTAAATGCTGCTGAATAATTTGATACAAACCTCCACAAGACTCTTCTATTTTTTTAGTTTCTAAATTTACTATTGGCATTTCGAAAAACCATGGAGCAATTTTAGATGTACTTACAGTTTTACAGTATGTTATATTACTTATCCCAGAATACTCTGCATAAATATTTCCTTCCCATCCAAAACTCCTTATATTATGGCCATATTCCCAACATTCTCTGAATATCTGTTTAGTAGGGTGATTTTCCTCATGCCCTTGTAAATTTAACCAGTAATTTATTGACAGTTTCATCCTCCTTAAGTCCAGTGGCATTTCTCCAGTAATCACTTGAAGAGCAGGAACTGGAGATGTTCGAAAAGCACCACTACATATCCTAAGCGCTTTGGCTTGGATTCTATCTAAATCTAACAACAAAGAATTTGCAGCTGATTTATAAACAATACATCCATAGTCCAACACAGATCGAATTAAAACATCATATATTCTTTTCAAGGATGAGCTAGTTGCCCCCCAGTCATTCCCTGACAAACATTTCAATATATTAATACCTTTTTTACATTTATCAATAATCTTCTGCATATGTATCTTAAATGAAAGTTTTTCATCAAACCATACACCAAGGTACCTTATCATATTTACCTGTTTCAATTCATGCCCATATAATCTAAGATCTACTGTTGGATTATCCCTTTTCCTTGAAAAACATAATACTTGTGTCTTCTCAACAGACAAACGAAACCCCCATTCGTGTGACCATCTTTCTACCGTTTTAATTGCTGATTGCATTCTATTTTTTAAATAACTAAGATTTCCTCCTCTCACCCATAATGCCCCATCATCTGCATATAATGCTTTATTAATTCTAAAATCTATATTATCAAAAATATCATTAATCATTATATTAAAAAGCACTGGACTACATACACTACCTTGTGGAGTTCCATTTTGTATATCATAAATGTTTGAATAATTTACCCCAACTCTTACTTCTATTTTTCTATTCTTTAAAAAATCCTTAATCCAATTAAACATTTTTCCTTTGATTCCCATTTTATTCATCTTAATTAATAAACCCTCCTTCCAAAGCATATCATATGCTTTTTCAATATCAAAAAATGTAGCCAAGAGAATTTCTTTATTTACCTGAGCCTTTCTTATTTCATTTTCTAAACAAGCAATTGGATCTACTGTTGTCCGTCCACTTCTAAAACCACGCTGATAAGGGGATAAAAGATCTCTTTTTTCTATTTCATACATTAATCTCCTAGTTATCATTCTCTCCATCAATTTACATAAATTAGAAGTAAGAGCTATAGGCCTATAACTTTTAACCTCTCCTTTATCCTTACCTGGCTTTAATATTGGTACAATGATTGAATGCTTCCAGCTTAAGGGCAATTCACCTTGTTTCCATACTTTATTGTATAACTTTAAAATTATTCCTTTAGCATCATCTGATAAATGTTCAATCATCCTATAACATATGCCATCTTTACCTGGAGATGTATTTTTAACTCCTATCAATGCTCTATTCATTTCAAACAATGTAAATTCTTTATCTAAAATACTTCCATCAATCTCTTTTCTATTTAAAATTTCTCTATTATCTTCAATCATTTCCAATCTCCATGATAATTCTTCATTTGATAAATTTTTTGAACTATGCACCTTCACAAAGGACCTTGCAAACATCTCTGCTTTTTCCTTGTTTGTTATAGCTTCACACTGATCATCTTTAATTATAGGTAAAGAAAAATCCCTTCTAATTCCTCCCATCTTTCTAATCATTCCCCAGATCTCATTTATTTTAACGTCCATTCCAATTGTACTACAAAAACTTCTCCAATAATTCTTTTTTGATAGTTTAACTGTTCTCCTAACTTTAGATTGTGCTTTTTTGTAAAATATTAAATTATCAAATGAATGATTTATTTTTAACTTTTTAAATGCTTTATTCCTAACTTTAATAGCTTCTTTACATTCATTGTTCCACCAAGGAACCATTTTCTTTTTCTTCAATCCAGTAGATTTGCAAATGGCCTTTTCTGCAGATTCGTATATTATATTTGTAATCATTGAATTTAATTCTTCAATATTATTGCTTAAATTTGGCATAATCTCCATAAACATGTCACTTGCTATCTTTTTGTACATTTCCCAATTAGCTTCCCTCATTCTCCATTTAGGATACCAATTTTCTTTAACTGCTACTTTAAAATTATTCAATTTAAGCAGAATAGGATAATGATCACTTCCAAGGGAGTTATCATTCATTACTTCCCATTGACTTATTCCTGCTATCTGATCTGAGACTATAGTAAGATCAATTGCAGATTCTACTCCATGCCCTACATCAAATCTAGTACCTCTTCCATCATTTAGACAAGTTAAGTTATAATCATCCATAAATTCCTCAATTATGTTTCCATTTTCATCATTCCTTTTACTTCCCCATAAGGTATTATGAGCATTAAAATCTCCACATAAAATATTTTTAACATTTTCCTTCACATAAATACTATCCAGTATTTCTCTACTTATTTTTTTACATGGATTATAATAATTTATTATATTAAATTTTGATTTACTAATCCATACCTCAATCCCTATTACTTCTATTTCTTCATTTATATTTAAAACTTTATAATTAATTCCCTGCTGAACAAATATGGCAACACCTCCTCCTACATTTGGGTTTCTATCTTTACGTAGTTCAATATATCCACTAAGAATAAAATCAAGTGATGGTTTTAATCAGGTTTCTTGAATACATACTATATTTGGTTTAACATTCTGTCTTTCAATAAAATATTTTAATTCTTGGCCATTAGCAATTAAGCTTCTTGCATTCCACTGTAATATGGATAAGACCATCAATTGTCACCACTCCTGGACTGTTGACTTTCATTAATCCCTGTTAAAACTGCACTGATTGACTCAAAAGACAGGTCTTCCATCCAGGTATTTTTCTGCTGCTTTGATTATTATTTTAATTCGCTCTGTTCTACTATCTGTCTGAGCTGAACAATTTATTACTTCCACAATAAATGCAACAAATTTATTTTTATCCACAATCATTGTATTTCCTGAGGTATTCAGGCTCTGGGTTTGCTCTGTTTTTTGAGGTGGAGTGTGAGGCACAGAAATACTTTTAGCATTAACATTTGAGTTACTTACCTTTTTAACTGCATCTGCATAGGTAACTTTTTCTTTGACACGTATATTTTGTACCTGTACTGCTCTTTTATGAGCTTCACATCCTTTAAATGCAGCACTGTGTTCCCCACCACAGTTACAGCACCTTAACTTAGTTCCTTCAGAACATTTCCCATATTCATGCTCCCCTCCACACTTGGAACACCTGGCCTTAGCTCTGCAAGCAGCAGCAATATGTCCAAACCTCTGACATTTGTAACACCTGGTTGGTGGAGGAATGTATTGCCTATGTATAGCTGACAAACCCAATCATCATTTTTTCAGGTAATCTATCTTCTTCTAGTACTAACATAACTGATTTACTAGGACTTTTAACTCCTTCTCTTGTAGCAAACAGACGTTTCACTTTAATCACTCGAGCTCCTTTTATATTACCTTTAATCTCTTCCTCCGTCAAATCAGTTGATACTCCATATATTACTCCCATTACTTTTCCTCTTTCCTGCCATATTTGCGGCTTGATTGTTTTTCCCAACAACGTCTTGCTTCTCATTAGTCCCTGCACCTGATCTCTATCTCTGCATAATACCAATAGATTGCCATCTCTTAGCGTTTTGACTGTATTCACTTCACCTACTATTTTATATATTGCCTCACTTATCTTTAACGGATTCAATGCACATGGGTTCTGGAATCTAAGAATCACTTTCATTTCATTTCTTGTATTTTCCTCTCTTTTTTCTTCATCAGATTCAAAGCCTTTCCTTTTCTTATTTCCTCGACTCACTGTTTGCCAGTTTCCTGTTTTACCACTTCTA